TGCTGTTGAGACTCAGGTCATTAGTCCTCCATCAGGCGTCTCCGAACTCCTGCTTGAATGCAAACCGACAGAAAGAAGTAGACGCAGAAACATCTGGTGAAAGTTCAGAAAAGAACCAAGTATGAAAACCTCTGGAGACACGTACCCGGCCTCGGCGAGGTTCCTCCCAGTGTTCTCTCTTCATACGTTTGCATATCAGGAAGGCTAAACAAATTCTAGGAAACTAAAGGGTGTGGAAGCGTGTTTGGTTGTTATTTATGCTCCTCCCACCTGTTGGCCCCTCCCTCCCCCTCCCCCCTTCTCTCTCGCCACGTGTTGGTCTTAAAAACATTCACTGAGAGGTAAAAAAATGAAGGAATGCCATGTGTGTTCACCTCCACTCTGCACCAGAGTGCAGAAACCACAGTTGTGGCTCAGGCGAGGTGTGTGTGTGTGTGTGTGTGTGTGTGTGTGTGTGTGTGTGTGTGTGTGTGTGTGTGTGTGTGTGTGTGTGTGTGTGTGTGTGTGTGTGTGTGTGTGTGTGTGTGTGTGTGTGTGTGTGTGTGTGTGTGTGTGTGTGTGTGTACTCATAACTGTTTTTATCCACCTTATTCACCTAAAAACATAAAAATGAAACTAGTAAGATTAATTTATTTTTTAATCATGACCTTTAAAAGTATGATTCAGTGTTTTACCACGACTGAGAAGAGCAAAATAAACTATTAGGATGTTCAGATCATATTAATGGACAGGAAAATACAACCTCATAATAACAATAGATATAATAGATTTATACTATTTTTGCTTGAAATTCAGAGTTTACAAAGTAAAAATAAGCATCTGTTTCTGAGCAGCAGCAAATGTTATAAAGGATTAATTAAACGTAAAAAACAAATGTAGGGCTGCGTGTTGCTGCCACCCTTTCACAATAAAATCAAGCCCTTTCACATTATAAAAAGTTGATTTTTAAACTGTTTTTGTGTTATTACAATAAATTTATTAATCAAGTAAATAATAAAATGACCATTTTAAGACAAAGGCCTCATGTTTGTTTTTACTAAATGTGTTAAACTGGAAAAATTTGATGCGTTTTATTTTTACAAGTATGGCATCATCACACAATCACAAACATTTCCTCATTTATAATATGGCTGGATGTTTATTTTGAAAGGGTGGCAGCTATACACTTCCACATGAATGAACCTGCCTTTTGTAAAAAAACATAATATTAAATTTACATTTATGCATTTGCCAGACATTGATGACAAGATTTTTTGTTACATTTGCATCTTTTTTTTTATCTTGATCTGTGTTTATGTTTACGCGTGGAAGCCATTTTGGCCGATTCAGTAACACGAAACGTGTCTCCCAGTACTTTTGCTTTTCTTTTAGTCATTTTCTTTAAATTAGATTTCTGTGACTCTTAATTTTATTCCATTTAAGTGATCTTGTTTTATTTCAGGTTTAAATCGCTAACAGACCACCAGAATGGATGATTCTTAAAGAGCAAGTCACCCCCTACCAGAGTGTTACTCCACTCCCGCTTCCTGTTTGAAAAATGCAACAAGTGCTGTTGCCTAGCAGACCGAGAGGGCAGAGCCGCTAACAAATACACACACACACACACAGGCTCACAACGACATTGTGACATCATATGGTACCAGCTAACGTTCTAGGGTACCTCTTAGCCAATAGCGATGGCAGATTTAAATTCAAATGCAGTGCAGAGTAGGGGTTGTATGAACTAGTCGACTAGTCGACTTCACTGCTCTGTAGTGACTTTTTATGCCTGCCATCGACTAGTCGCTGTCACGTGATAATGACAAGATGCAGCCCTCGGAAAAGACAGCAGGTGACGAGCTCCTGCGCGTCTGGATCAAGGCGGAGGCAACGCGCTGTGCCAGAGCGTCGGTACTGACACCCGCCGTAAAACGGACATTTAACCAAATTGTGACCTTTACCCTCTTGCAATTTAACCTTCCCCTCACCCCATCCTAACCTTAACCAGCTTGTGCATGCAAAGCTCTGATCGTTGACGCGCTCCAGACATCTGCGTCCTGAGCACGGCCACAGTAACATTATCAGATCAGGTGTCACCCCTCAAAAACAAATGTAACGCGATCGTTCATGTCGGCTCATTTCCTTTTATGTTTTCTGTCTTTTATTTTTGCCTGATGCACCCCGCTGCTGTGGAGCGGGACGCATCACCTGTTTTATCCTCCGGCGACGCACCAATCACTGATGTGGCCGGCGAGCAGCTCGCACTCCGCTGTTTTAGCGGTCAGTAGATCTTTTAGAACTGCAGTTCAAAGGTAACTCATGAGGTGAATATATATGAACCCAGGTAGCAGTTTCTCTTTAGGATTGAGAGGAGATGCAGGAAGATAATAAACAGGCAGGACAGAAAAATAGTCAAATAAAAACAAGCTAGTTTTTGTACCTGGTGGTTGCAACAAACAGACACCACTGAAGGTAATCAGAAGTGAGGAACAGAAAATGAAATAATTATTTTAATGTTTAGAGCAGCAGGAACTCTGAGAGGCTGCAGGCGCATCAGTGAGTTTGCGGCCGCTGCGCAGGGGGAGGGGGGGGAGGGCTGAAGCAGAAGCTACCGTTGTTAAGAGAAATGTGTTTAACTTTGAAAATGTGGGCGCAGTTTTAATTGTCAAAAACTCCAGCGAACCAACCGACCCCCGCCGCCGCTTCAGGTGAATGACGTCATCAACGACTAGTCAAAGTCGACTCGATTTTCATTACTTGAATGTCGACTTTTAAAAAAAATTCAGTCATGCAACCCCTAGTGCAGAGTTTTTACCTGACAACGGCACAACACTGACAGTTTTAGGCAGAACATTTAAATTTTAACTAAGATGCACTAAAGTGGTAAACTATTGACTACATGTGTCTGATTAGACACACATTTATATAGTTTATCAGAAAAAAAGTTGATTTGGGGGTGACTTGCTCTTTAAAGGCTAGGTGTTCCTGTTGCTTTTATAGTCTAATTCACCCAGATAAGGAGATTATATGTTTTTTACCCTAAAATGTGTTTTCCCCAGTAATTTTATGCTTGCGTAATAAAAATTAAGATATTTTAAAGAAAGATGCTAAAATCAAACTTTAGTTTAACGACAATAATCCCAGTAATGATGAATTATGAACATACCTGCAGCACGTTGTCTGGTTGTGAAACGATTGGTCAGTCTGCCCTCAAATCCTAAACCCTGCATCTCCTCTTATAAAAAATGATTCTACACACTGGCTTCATTATATTTTCTTTATCATGACACATTTTTGCAAAAATAAAAGCAATATAATTCTCTCACTGCCTAATAAACAAAGTAAACACGCTTTTTAGCTGAGGTTTGAATTGCACTTGCAGCATGCATCCTTGCAGAAGCACCGAGTCATGTGGACTCTAAAGCACTTGACACGGGTCTCAGCAGTGAGCATTGTGGGCCTTTCTGTAGAAAACAAAAAGTCGGGACTTCATCTGAGCCTCTTGAAACAAAGTTAGGACTTTTCAGGTTGCAGCTTCTGTGAAAACAAGAGAAAATGAATCAAAAACATGAAAATGAATCGGATCAATGCATAAAAAATACACAAAGTCAGGCTTAACCTGCTGTCGAAGGGCCTGCATGGATTTATACTCCCACTGCTCCTTCTTTTTTCTGATCCAGTTGGGTTCATCTGGGATCAGAGCCGCTATAATCACCTTGACTAATATCAGTAGATGCTGCAAACACAGAGGAAAGGAATCGGACCGACGGGTCTCAGAGAGTCGCGGTTATTACACGTTTCCCCCTCCTACCTCCACGATAACGGCTCCCAGCAGAAGGTCGGTGCTGCTCATCTCGCCCCGCCGACACTTCTCCTGTAGCCGCGGTGACAGCACCAGCAGCCAGCAGTTGGACACCACGGAGACGAAGCTCAGGACCTCAAAGGCGATCTGTAAGAATGCAGACCAGCGTGGTGAACCTGTCGGGGGAACCTGCTGCTCCTGTTTGTGTCGTGTTCACTGCTGACCTGCCACACGCCCATGTCACCCACTGGGGGGGAGAAGGGTTTACGGAAGAGTTTGCAAATCTTGTAGGCGTCCGACCGGATCTCTGTTAGGTTGTTGAGGAGCAGCAGAACAGCAGTCAGAGGAAACACGCAGGAGAAAAGACTCAAGTACCCAAACTGCACCAGGAGCTCTATGTATTCTGCAAACAGGCCCTGAGACGAAACAAGAGGCTGGATTTTAATTCATCATTTGCTTAAAGAGCAAGTCACCCCCAAATCAACCTTTTTTCTGATAAACTATCTAAATGCGTGTCTAATCGTGCTGCAGACACGTGTCGTCAATAGTTGAGCACTTTAGTGCATTTTTGTTCAAATTTAAATATTCTGCCTAAAACTGTCAGTGTTGTGCCATTGTCAGGAAAAAACTCTGCAGCTGAATTTAAGGCCTAGTCCACACGTAGCCGGGGTTTTTTGAAAACGAATATCCGCCCCTCCAAAAACTTGCATCCACACCACCGCGTTTTAAAAACAAACTCTGTCCACACGTACCCGGATAAATACGTTGTTAAGGACATGCCAGACCTGTAGGCGGCAGTACTTCCCCCGTTCTTAACCTCGTCCTTCGTCTGTGGTCTTCCGCTAGGAGCAGTAAGTCCGCTTGCAAAAACAAACAAGCAGAAAGCGCTTGGACAATTGATGGATCGAGTAGTGACAGAGTGCAGCTCTGAGGGCTTCCATGATGCCGGCTAGTGTAAACACAGGTCGCACACGTGATGTCAGCATTTTTTGTCGCGGAAAGTGACGTTGCGGACCTTAAAACTCCGGTTTTGTCCGTCCACACGCAGACACCCAAAACGGAGAAAACACAGATCTTCACTTTGGCCGGAGTTTTTAAAAAGATCCGTTTTCGTGTGAAAAAACTCTGTTTTCGTGTGGATGGCAGGCCAAAACGTAGAAAAATATCTACGTTTTGGCAGATCCCCGGCTACATGTGGACAGGGCCTAAATCTGCCATCGCTATTAGCTAAGAGGTTCCCTAGAACTTTAGAGGGTACCATATGATGTCACAATGTCGTGTGTGTGTATTTGTTAGCGGCTCCGCCCTCTCGGTCTGCTAGGCAACAGCATTTGTTGCATTTTTCAAATGGGAAGTGGGAGCGGACTAATACTCTGGTAGGGGTTGACTTGCTCTTTAAAGCAGTGTTTCCTCTTGTGTTACTCACAGGAAAAGGAGGCATGTTGCCCTGGTTCCTAAATTTGTCCTCTACTGGGTCTTCTTCTTTCTCGTTCCTCTTGGGGGAGCTGATGAATCTGTCCACCAGGTACGGTATGACCACCTCTGTCACCTGGTTGACCAGCTGGGACACGATCAGCAAAGAGGCTAAACGCTGCGGACAGGAAGAGGACGAAGTTTGGTTCTGCACCGTAAGAAAGCAGTGTTGAATTTCCCGGCTGGTTCCATTAAATCTTTTTTTTTTTTGTTTGTTACGACTCAGACCAAACTCTCTGACACGTTTAGCTCTAGAACGTTTTACGGTTTCCTTGAACTCTGAACTCTGGATCCTGGTCCAGATGCCGCTTCAGAACAGAACCAGATCTCAGAATCCAAATCAAGCAGACGTTCCATTTTTCATTAGCTGGTAAAGTCCGTGGCCGCCTCCATTACAGTGAGTTTACTTTGGCTCAAATGACGATAGTGTGACCTGACACTGGTGTTGACCTTGGAGTCGACCTCTACTCTCTGCGGGAGTTGTTCCGGGCTTTTTTGTGACCACTCATGTTATCCGTCTCTCCACTATTAAATTCATAATTAATATTACCGTACTGACCAGAATATAAGATGAGTTTTTTTTTCATTGAAAATAATTTCATGTGGGGTCGTCTCATGATCGGGGTCTAAGCATTTCCACATGCCGGTATTTGTCTGAGGTCATTACACGCCCGTAACAGCAGGGGGCGCCAGGCTGCGTGTTCTCAACAGGAGGAAAAAAACGGATGCAAGAGGTTCGGAGCAGCGTGGACCAAAATGGGGCAAGTTAACAAGGTGTAAGGCCGATTTGTGAATTTTAAGATGACGGTGGTCATTTCAGCAGAGGCAACAAACATCGCGTGCGTGGATGCGTTGGATAGCAGTGAGGATGGCGTTCTGGGAGGAGTCGGCAGGTGTAGCGAACTGATGGTCCACCGGGACCGCGAGGCAGAGGACGTCTGTATAAAAGCCTCATTTGACTTTTGATTTCACATGTCAGCAAAGTTCTGATAGTTTGCATTAAAATAGTATTTTTGCTCAGTATTTGATCTGAAATTTTCATTTTAAAAGTGATTTTTTTTTTGTCTTTTCCTGAAGATTAGTCTTGGAAAGGGGGTCGTCTTATAATCGGGTCAATACGGTGATTATAGTCACAGGAACATCAAGCTGCTAGGAGATGGTCTTCTAGCCTTTCCCTTTAACATTCTGGTCAATAATGGTCATTCTGTGTATCTGACGCCGCTGTGGTCCATGGCCAGTGTGGTACACACCCTGATACCACACTGCACTGTGACTACCTCTCAGCTCAGACTGACTGTTGCCGATTGCAGGGCACTTTAGTCTCATTAGTTTATCTTTTCTAGGGAATTATCATTTTTATCCAGGCCAGTTTCATTCATTAAAAATAAAAATGTCAGTAATTTCTTGAAAATTGTTACTTTTGTTAGTTTCTAATTTATTTTAGAGACCATTTTGGTGTTTTTACATCTGTAGGTGAGTCCTGATAACAAACTGAACAAATCTTATTCAGATGAAAGTAAAATTTAAATTTTCAGCTTTAAAATATACTTTTCAATTCATAAGTTTATTTAACTGTGTTTATTTTAATAACTTCAAAAGCTGCAGTTTTACCTCAGATTTACAGAATTACTTTTACAGAAATTTTAAGTTACAAGTTAGGTGGAGGAGTTGTAAAAATGCGTTTGGATCATTTGGGAAACAGGAAAACTGCATCTTTTTACGAGTCAAAAGCCATTTAAAAACGAGAAGAGCAGCTGTGGGCTTCTACCTTTCGAAGCAGCGGCACATCCCGCTTAAAGAAGGCGATGTGGAACAGGACTGCAAAGTAGTTGAAGAAGGTAAACTGAGAAGATGCAGAACATAACCGGGTCAGAACTGGAGTGAGTTAGTGATGAGTGAATGGATGAAAAGGAACTAACCACTAAAACTTTGGCTGTCAGGTGGTTCTGGTGGGCCGACTCCTCTCTGTGGTTCTCTGAAGGCGAGGATGAAAAGTTTGTTGCTTTATTCTTGTTAGAGCCGCATGACTCAGCAGTTTTCTCTGTCTGACAAAGATCCTCCAAGCTGCTCACCGTATTCAGTTAGAGACTCGGCCGCGGTCTTGTAAACAGTCGCCAGCATGTTTGTGTAGACGATGTGGAGCACCGAGGGCGCGTAGAGCAAAGGCCGAGTCAGCAGAGAGTCCCAGTCTGTGTGGAGCTTCTGGACTCGGGCCTCTCCCCAGTAGAAACACATCATACCCAGAACCACCAGTCCTGCAGGAGTAACGGCAGATTCATCAGCTCACTCTAACTTCATATTTGGTTGAAATTTGGTTTAAAGCCTCACCTAAAAACAGCCCCACAACCGGGACCGACACCAGCGCCATCCGCAGGCCCCGCTGCCAGTCAGGGAACAGCGGCTCCACACGACCGGTCACCGGGTTCGTCCCGAGTTCACCGCGGTAGCCGGGCCGAGGCTCCGCAAAGCGTTCAGCGAGGTTCAGGGTCCCCCAGCGGTAGGACAGGGACGCGCTCCGGCGCTTCCACATCTCCATAACCACCGTAGACCAGAGCATGCTGAACACCGCCAGGATCATGTGACCGCTGATTACAAATCCTGAGTCCTCCTGGATTTCTCCCACCTGAGAACCTGCCTCTGGAATCTCCTTCTGATCATCACCTGTCACATACAAAAAGATCTCTGTAGGATATTTATCGCCCCACTACAAAGGAGAAGGTGGTGATTTTTGTAAGATAATGAGTTGATTATATCACCACTTTTGAATAGTTTATCAGAAATAACACAACGGGCTGCGAAAGTAAGGACGCACCTGAGGAGTATGCAATGAACAGCCCCATCATCGCAGGTGGAAGCAGAGACCAGGTGTAGAAATCCAGGAAGCTGAAGTAAAAAGCCACAGGGCCTCCAAAATACTCATTAATTTCATCTGCAAACAGAGGAGTTCTGTGTTGGTACACGTCGGTTCCTCACATGACAGTCAGCTTCACACGTTGGTGAATAAAAATCCACCCACCCAGCGGCTGAACCAGCTGATTCCCAAAGTACCAGGCTTTGCTCAGGTCCTTCAGTTTGTTTGGATTGTGGAGAGGAAGAGTGTCGACGATCACACCGACTGACCCCAGCTTCTGCCCTGCACCAGATTTCAGTCCCGACACATCAGACAAACTCTTTTTACCAAAGTCACATCAGAACATAAACCAGACTGAGCTGAGCTCAGCAGCTTTGTAATCGATCCATCCACCCATCTTCTTTACCCGCTTATTCACACGGGGGGGGGGGGGGGGGGGGGGGGTGTCTGTCGCAGGGCACTTTGGAATTGATCACAAACCAAAATAACCATCAAAGGCAAATTCTCTTCAACACAGAGAAAACATATTTTTGCTTATTGTAGATCATCATCTCAAAATCTCATCGAATAATTTCTGGCCTTAAAGGGTTCAGGTGGTACCACATAAATTTATTGACTTTTAGGAGTTTTTTTATATGCTGAGTAAAATTTTGTAACTAAATCTATTTACATGATTTTCACTTTTAATAACTCAGTAAAGTTTATTAAGAGAAAATCCCTCTTATTTAACGTGGATGCAGTTTCGCCTTGTGGCCACTAGAGGGCGTATGATCTGATATGTTTGTAGCGCTGTAGCTAGCTTTTCATAGCTCCCGCTTTAGACTGTTGATTCAATCTTGTTAAACATAGATCTGAGTTTTAGGAGTTTATAAGCTGGTTACAATTTAGTAACTAAAGAAATAATTTGATGTGTTTGTTGACAAAAATATCTCAATACCTGCAGTGGATGTACTGTTGCCACCAGAGGGCATATGATTTGATATGTTTATAGCTCTGTAGCTAGCTGCTGATACCTCCTTGTTGAGTTAATCTTGTTACACACAGATTTAAATTGATTTGAGTTTTAGGAGTTTGTTATATGCTGGTTAAATACTTGTAACTAAATCTATTTATTTGATTTTACCTTTTATTAACTCAATCATGTTTATTAAGAGAAAATCCCTCTGTCTGCAGTGGATTTATTTTTGCCTTGTGGCCACTAGAGGGCGTATGATCTGATATGTTTGTAGCGCTGTAGCTAGCTTTTCATAGCTCCCACTTTAGACCGTTGATTTAATCTTGCTGAACACAAACAATTTAAATGGATTTATGGAGTTCTGGGAGTTTGTTATAAGCAGGTTACAATTTTGTAACTGAAGAAATAACTTAATGTGTTGAAAAAAATCTCTATTTCTGTATTGGTTGTAATTTTGCCCTAAACGGTCGGCGAATTGTCCACTCCTAACCCCGTGACCCCATCTCACTCTTTGAAATGTTCAAAAGTTGGCCGCCCTGTTATTACGAGAAAATCCCTCTGTCTACAGTGGAGCCTATCTAAACCCAGCACCTCCTTGCTGCAAGGCAACAGCACTAACCGCTGCAGCCCCAGATGGAGTTGTCACTCTTAAGTCGGATAAAGGATTGAATTCTTCCCAGATTGTCTGTGGAAGTGAGAGCTGCATGTCTGCTCGTGCAACCCAGCGCACTACTTCCTGCACCCATCAGGTTCTTAGACTCCAGAGGGGATCTTGAAGAAAATGGTCTTTGAATGCCCCCCCACCCCCCCACCCCCACCCCCCCAAAAGTAGCTCACTTGAATGCCTTTTTGCCAAGAGCAAATACTGCACCTTTAAGCAAACAAAGATAAAAATGTATTAGTTTGCAGCAGAAAATGGCTGACTGCAAAAATGCAAAATACACTCGGTAAGGTTTGCACGAAACTCCTGCTTTGCGTAGATTGTGATGTCATCCTACTGATGTAAGCAGGTCTAGATTCTGGTCCTGTTTCACCCTAATTGAACCTACTCATGGGCTGTTATTGCTCTGGTTTAACTAGTTTAACTAGTTTAAAGAGTTGTTTGTAATGCAAATGTCCTTTTCAGCACAGATCACCAGTTGTTTTTATTCTGGATTAGTAATTTTCCCTCCTCTTATTGTCAAAATGCTATTAAAATGCAGCGAAAAGAGGAATCAGATTGAACAGCTTTATTCCCCAGAGACACCGTAGAATCGTTGCATTCTGTTTAATAGAAAGAACAGTGAACTGTTTCCACCTGGACCGTTTTAGAAGCAACTCCATCAAGCCTGATTGCTCAAGTCTGTAGTCAGCAAAATTAAGCAAGTAATGGTAATAGATGATTTGATTTAGTGAGATTTGTAGTTTCAAACTGTTAAAATAAATTATCTGACAGTTGAACAAGTTGATTATCAGCTGTGGCCAGATATTAGCATTAGCACATTAGCACAAGGGAGCTAATTATTAGTTACAATTTTCAATACCGATTCCAGTATTGGTATCGGTAAAAATTAACCGATACCAGGAACAGATACCAATGCAGTTGCTTGAAAATGGCTTCACTGTAACTTGTCATTTCTGTCCATCTAATATTTTAGTTTAGTGATGATTTCTATTCATATATTTTACTTTTTATCTCCCTCACTGTCTTTTCCTGTTGAAAGCATAGAAGAAAATAAAACTTGTATTCCAAATCATTGCATTTTTTTGTGTGTGTGGTAGAAGTATCGGTATCGGCAATTGGTATCGGCGAGTACTCGGATCCAAGTATCGGTTTGGAAAAAAGTGGTATTGTTGCCTCCCTAGTTACAATTATTCTAATAGTCATAATAAAACTACGATCATAAATATTTTTGTCGTATCACTCGCCCTTGAGACCAAACTGACCAAATTCTTCAGACTCCATTCTCTCACCTGTGGTCACATGACTCAGACGACTTTAGGTACCAAATCGATCAGTGGTACGTTTTCATTGACTTATCCTCTAAACCAGTCCGAGGTTTTGTTAGCCAGTATCAAATTGAAACAGCATCTTGTGAACAGATTAAAGATTTGCAAGCACCGCTTTTTCAAATCAAAACAAACTGATCGATTGTCTTCTGTTTGCTGCAGCGTTAAATGACTCGGCTGCATGTGAGCGTTCCGTTTCTCTGTGTTGATGCTGAGAACTGCGGGCACAATGAGGCTACTCACAGATTATATCTCGCTTTTTCAGCGTGAAGTTTTCAGGAAGGCCGGGGACCCTCAGGTCCTTCTGAGCTCGCAGACCGTCCAGCTCATACTTCACTATGTACTGTCGCTCTGCTAAGGTCAGAAACCCCTCCATGTTGTCTGTAAAACACACACACACACACACACACACACACACACACACACACACACACACACACACACACACACACACACACACACACAGAAAATATCCAGGTTAGGCTATGCTGTATTATATATATCTATGATTATATATATGTAGATCCTGTAGTGTGGTTTTGAAAAAGTGTATTTTGGGAAATAAATGACATCACAACACAATTAGTTTGTATTTTAATGCACCTAAATGTGCATTTATGTCTTTAAAAAGCTGTTTTAAAGTTGAGGTTGAATCACCCATCCTGAATTCAGATTGGAAAGTAACTAAAATGTGATTATCAGTGACTCGTGAAGGATGGCTGCTTATACTGAGCCAGGATTCTCTGGAGGTTTCTTCCTGTTAAAAGGGAGTTTTCCTCTCCACTGTCGCTATATGCTTGCTTAGTATGAGGATTGCTGTAAAGTCACTGACACTAGTCAGTGACTTGATGCAATTTGCTGGGTTCCTTATTTAGGAAACTTTTTTTTTCTGATTGGCTTAATGAACTGACCTGTATTGGAATGTTTATTATGTGAAGTGCCTTGAGACGACTCTTGTCGTGATTTGGCGCTTTATAAATAAACTTGAATTGAATTATAACAGTTGCATCCTGGACCAGAAGGTCTGATCGTCATGTACAAGCTGAATTCTCTTTAACCCCATAACGCCGGTTGTCACAAATTTGCATCGAACCTGCATTCGCTCCAAATGCAACCAAAATACTGCATGTACCTGAAAGAAAATCCTCAAGTGGAGAAAGTTTTAGAATTGAAAACAAATTCAGGCGTAAGGGGTTAAAAAATAACACTGGATTTAAAGAGCAAGTCACCCCCAAACCAAGTTTTTTTTCTGATAAACTATATAAATGCGTGTCTAATCGTGCTGCAGACACGTGTCGTCAATAGTTTCGCACTTTAGTGCATTTTAGGTAAAATTTTAATTTTCTGCCTAAAACTGTCAGTGTTGTGCCGTTGTCAGGTAAAAACTCTGCACTGCATTTGAATTTAAATCTGCCATCACTATTGGCTAAGAGGTACAAAATGACGTTAGCTGGTACATTATGATGTCACAATGTTGTTGTCAGCCTGTGTGTGTGTGTGTGTGTGTGTGTGTGTGTGTGTGTGTGTGTGTGTGTGTGTGTGTGTGTGTGTGTGTGTGTGTGTGTGTGTGTGTGTGTGTATTTGTTAGCGGCTCCGCCCTCTCGGTTTGCTAGGCAACAGCATTTGTAGCATTTTTCAAACAGGAAGTGGGAGTGGAGTTAGAATCTGGTAGGGGGGTGACTTGCTCTTTAAAGAAACGAGGAAATGGTCCACATGTAGCACTGAACACAAACATACGAAGATGCCCCATGGACTGGTGCTGCTATAGTGGCTGGCCGCCATCTTGGATGGGTTTCTATGCACACCCACTGCATTTATTTTTACTGAGGAAGGTGCTACCTAACTAAAAAAACACATTTTATTTTGATTTTTCACAAAAATCAGACCTATGTTATGGCACGATAATTAAAATATAAATATAATGAAACATAAAAAAATATATAATCCCAGCAGGTTGACTAGAACAGTCAGTGATCTGTTTTCAATGGTGCGCCAGTTGTTGAAGCCGAACAAAAAACGTTTGTAGTAGTCCGCTCTGCGTCGACCCCAGATGGGTTTGGAGAATGAGGAACCCATCCAATATGGCGCCGATGCTGTTACACTCTCCAGCACCCAATGGGACGTCTACGTATTCATGTCTTTGGCACTGAACCTCAATGTGCCACAAGTTTCTTCTAAATGATGGTCCTACCTGCATAAATACGATAAACTAAAAATATGAAATACACACACTCTGCTCTGACACATTCAGGAGATTTAAAAAAAAACTCGGCGTGTGTCTCACGGAGTGTATCTGTAAACAAATATAAAATATTTCATAAAGTGAAGCAGCCAATACTTGCTTGTGATTTTGTTTATTTGCACATGAAATGGTTATTTTTTTTGGGGGGGGTTAAATGCTTTTTATGACACAATTTATTGAAAAATGTTTGTGAAAATTTCCTTTTCAGCTTTCTGGAATTTCTTTTGTACTTGGATGTATTTGCCTTGGTTTGTTTTTATTGACCTGTTTACAGGTGAAAGAAAAGGTGGAGGCTACTTTTCCCAACCTCATCACAAATGCTCACGTGAAGTCTAACTGCCCTGCTAAGTTTTCTGATTGCACATAATTTCCTTCATTTAAAAGCATCATTTGTTTATTTATTTATTTGTTTATGTGGTGTTTATCATAAACACCACATCGAGTGTGCATGGGGATTATTTAGCTAGACGGATCTAAGAGTCTCATTTTGGCCACTTCTATGTTCGAGTTAGCTCCCACATTCCCAGAAAGGACTCACTGTTGAAACTGCTTCATAAAATATTTAAATCCGTTAACTATCTTTCCATTTTTAGCTGTAAATTTAAATTAGGTTAAGCATAATCGTCTGAAATAACTTTAGATAAGCTGTTAGTTTCCTTTTGACCTTGTAAATGAGCAGTAATCCACTCAGATAGTAAAATGTGTTGTTCCATCAGATGATTTTCTAAAGAGGTGGAGCGGCGTGTGAGCGGCGTACCTGAATTTTTAAAGTTGTCTCTGTCGCTGTAGGAAAACGCCTCCATGTCACCGTTGCAGTACATTTTACAGAGTCCCAGCTCCTCCACGGCTCGCTGCAGCGTACAGCGTGGTGCCGACACCACGATGATGTCACCAGTGGCGTCCTCGCCCGGATGGGCCATCAGGTCGGCACCTGGAACGGGACCGTTACGAACTTGGATTCTTGTGAAAAACATAATTTTTTCTATTTTAAACGTGTAAAAAATGAATGAATGAGCATCTGCTGGCCCTTGGATAGCATGTTTACCGTTGCTTTTTCTAAATAAACAAAAACAGTTTTAAAAGTTCATAAACACATTTTTCATCAAGTCGTCAATTATCACTCAACTCAACCTGCTTTTGCTTATTTTTATAGAACACATCTGAAAAACTAACATTAACCAAATCAACATTAACAAAACTCCAAAACATTACAAAAAACAGAGAAGAAGAAAAGTTAAAAATAAAAACTAACCTGAGGTAAAAGCGAGTGAGTTTTAAATAAGTCGCATTTAACAACAAAGCCTCTCTGATCTTGATGGGTTAGGGTTAGCGTACGGCTGTAGTAATCCATCAGATCCCAGAAAGCACCGAAACCCCGACCCTCAACTACGGGCACGGACGTAATTTTCACTTTAGAAGTGGAGGGGACACGGGGGGGGTGGGGGTGGTTGGTGGGGGTGGGTGGGGTGGGGGGGGGGGTATCTTTACAGTATGTTCTAATGGGAAACAGGCTTCAACACAAACGGTTGTTTTCCGCTTGGTCCTAGAGCTCAACCAGTGATACTGTAATATAGCGTAATGTTGTTTTTTGGATGGTAAAACGTGCAGGGGTCAAAACTTGACTTTGGAAAAAGTGGGGGGGACATGCCCCCACCCCCAAAATTACATCCACAACAACGGGGTAGGAACCCTGTAACGGTCAAATAATTCACCAACGTTTCTCTGGCCCACTTGAGCCGGATGCTTTTAGATCAGGAGTGGGCAATCCTGGTCCTCCAGGGCCGCTATCCAGCAGGTTTTAGTTGTTTACCTGCCCCAACACACCTGATTCCTGGATGAATCACCTGTTCAGCAGCTCATCAGGCTCTGCAGCAGCCTGTTAATCACTAGTAGATTCAAACCAGGTGTGTTTAAGCAGAGAAACAAGTAAAACCTGCTGGACAGCGGCCCTCGAGGACTGGGATTGCCCACCCCTGTTTTAGATGTTTCGGTCTGCGATCGTTCCCGGAAACCATTCGACTGTTGCTCATAAAAGTTTGGTCTGCTCTGTCTCTGTTGCAGAAAACGAATCCTCACCTCCATCTTTCTTAGGGGTTCCAATCAGTTTGATGAGCCAGCGCTTGGTCTCTGGGACCACCTTCACCCCGAGCTTCACCAGAACCAGCGGTTCCACTCGGTCCGAGGCGCAGCAGGGGCAGCTGACTTTGGTCCAGCTCGGTAAAAAGGAGGCGGTGCTGAGCTTGGACTGCTTTCCTCCTGCAGCTTTTCCCTCCAGCAGCTGGGACGGCTGGCTCCACCCATCAGGTACACCTTCATCATCACCCGCCTTACTCATGGTGAGTCTGAGAGGAAACGGGGAATACGAAATTCATCCTCCATCTTCACAGCTAACTGGTTAAAATTTAGATGACTCGAATCAATCAGCTCATGGAGAATTATTCATGATGTCATCTGAAGCTCAGAACTTTTTAATGCCATCATTATGTTTTAAAGTCTTTAGAACATTTTATTTGACCCTGGTTTGGTTCTTCTCCATTCTCAGATTAAATCCTCTATTGTTACATCATCATCATCATCATCATTGCTAAGCTGAGTCCCATTCTGTCCCGCTCTGAACTTGAGACAGTTCTCCACACCTTCATCTCCTCACGCTTAGACTACTGTAACTCTCTTTTCACGTGTCTGAGCAGAACCTCCCTGAACCGTCTACAGGTGGTTCAGAACGCCTGTGCTCGGCTTCTGACCAAGTCCTCCAAACACACCCACATCACCCCGCTTCTCCTCCAGCTTCACTGGCTGCCAGTCAACTTCAGGGTTCATTTCAAGATCCTGGTTCTGGTCTATAGGGCCTTACATGGACAAGCACCATCTTACATTGGTGATCTTCTTAGTCCCTACACCCCCAGCAGGTCCCTGAGGTCCAGTGACCAAAGCCTACTGGTTGTGCAGCACCAGGCTAAAGGTCAAAGGTGACAGATCATCTGCTGCTGTGGCCCCCAGACTCTGGACCTCTCTCCCCCTGAGCCTGAGATCAGTGGACTCAGTGGTCTCCTTTAAAAAGCAGCAGAAGACTCACTTGTTCAAGCTGGCTTTTGTATGACCTTCTTCACCTCTCTCTCTTTATTCTGCTCTCCCCACCTATTCCACCTTCCTCAGGATCCACTGATTGCCCTCTTTCCTGTTCCCTCTCTCTCTTTCATAACACTTTTTAATCACAATTGCCTATTTTTGCTCATTTTAAATATATTTTTAAACATTTTCTAAATTCTTTTTTTATATTTTTACATTTTTCGTTTTTGTGAAGCGCCTCGTGATTTTTATCTTGAGAGGCGCTATAGAAATGATATTTTCTTCTTCTTTTTTCTTCTTCTTCTACGTCTTCATGATATATTTATTTAAAGTCAGATTACGGCTCTAATTGTCATTTTCATTATTTCTTCTGTTATAACAAACAATTCCTTGCGGAGCTTTTAGATGATCATGAAACCATAAAAAACTCATGTTTCATCTTTTATTTCCACTCTGGCTGCAACCTCATGACACCCATCTGCTTCAGGAAGCTGGGGCTACTTAAGCTCAACATTAAGGTTCAGATCACATTACTTGTTTCCTGACAGCGTTGTGTTTCTGACCCGTTTTGACGACTCTCTCCGACGGCGTCAGGCAGAACAGAAAGTGTCTCTGTACTTCCTGGGATGAGTCTAAACGGTGTCGGCCGTCACAGAAACATTTAGGGGTGAAAGAGAGGATGACATGCTACACCCAGCAGGGCTCTGATGATGAGGTTCTGGTCTTCAGTCCTCCGCCGGGCCCTCCACCAAACTCCTGAGTCAATGCCAACAAACGGAGAGCCCAACATGAAGACGGGAACATCTGCTGAGCAACACGGAAAAGTACAAAAAACCCTCTCTGCACACACTTACCCAGCCTCAGAGTGGTTCCGCCCAGCTTTCCCTCCTGATGTAGTTATGTGTGCATGTATGTGTGGGTGTGTGTGTGTGTGTGTGTGTGTGAACAGCAGGAATGCAGAACTCCCGGAGGGTGTGGAGGCTTGTTTGGTTTTATTCAGACTCCTCCCTGCAGCAGCTGCAGCAGCTGCAGCTCTGGGTCCTACTGCACCACCTCAGAGTTCAACCCCACACACAGATGTTCTAGAATGAAACCCAGACTCCGGTAAGGGTCAGATGTCCCATGGTAAAAGTGTCAGAATGACCAATGGAGTCGAAACAAATTTTAAAGATGTTATGACCGCGTTATAACAGCAGGTATCGTATTCTCACCTTTACATCAGTATGAACTGAAGCGCCACCTGCTGGAGGTTCATGTACAAAAATTATTACATGCATGTTTTCCTCATTTATGGGCAAACGGAAATCTCAACGAGTTAGAGTGCGCCCTTTGTAAATTTAAATGAATTGCATGACATACACAGCTCAGCCAAATAAAAAGCCTCCACCTGGATTTAACTAAGCAAACAGGCAGGAGCCTCCTATTGGATAATTACTGCAACAAGTTATTTAACCCAACTGGTGCAGTGAGCTGCTTCTCATTTCCTAAACGACCAAGTGGAAAGACACATCTGGTGGTGGTGGAAAAGATGTTAGTCTGTGTGAGAAGGGTCAGGTCACTGGCATCAGGCAGAGAAAACATCTAAGGAGATGCAGAAACGACTAGAACTGGGTTCAGAACTGTCCGACGCTTTATTAGAAACTGGTCTGAGTCCAGATGGACCCTGTTCCAGAGTGATGGCGCATCAGGGTAAGAAGAGAGGCAGGTGAAGTGATGCACCCATCATGCCTAGTGCCTACTGTACAAGCCTGTGGGGGCAGTGTTATGATCTGGGCTTGCTGCAGGTGGTCAGGTCTAGGTTCAGCAACAGGATGTGCTCCAAGAATGAGGTCAGCTGACTACCTGAATATCCTGAATGACCAGGTTATTCCACCTTCCCTGATGGCACGGCCACATTCCAAGATGAATGTCAGGATTCATCAGGCTCAGATAGTGAAAGAGTGGTTAAGGAAGCATGAGACATCATTTTCACACCACAGAGTCCAGACCTTAACCCCACTGAGAATCTTTGGGATGTGCTGGAGAAGGCTTTGTGCAGCGGTCAGACTCCACCGTCATCGATGCTAGAGCTCGGTGAGACGTTAATGCAACACTGGATGGAGATAAATCTGGTGAAGCTTATCAAAACAACGCCGCAGCGAGTGTGTGTCGTAATCAAAGCTAAGGAGGTCCAACCAGATATTAATGTATGACCCTTTGTAGGTAGCCGGGGTGCGTGTGTGTGTGTGTGTGTGTGTGTGTGTGTGTGGGGTGGGGGGGTGGGGGGGGGGGGGGGGGGGGGACATCTTGGAGCCTTTCATGTTTTCAGGCGAAGGATGTGTAGTTACATATTCTTTCCAGAACATAAACAGCAAATCACACCAAATAAGAAAAAAAAAATTTTTTTTGAAAAAAAAAAAAAAAAGTCAAATAATAATGTTTTATACATTTTTGAAAGGAAGATGAGAAATGGCATTTGAGAACATTACAAATGAAAAGCCATGTTAAAAAAACTATCTTCTGGTAGCAAGTTGTTTTTTAATAAAATAATCTTTTTTTTTTTTCTTTTTTTTTTACCGTGTCCTGTCTGGCTGTGAAGCAAACAGAATTGATGTCTGAAGGCTGGTGACAAGCCTTACAGATTTACTCTCAGGTGGAGCATCAAAGCGTCTGCTTTTCATGTCACGCCTGATACTTAAAACTTTATTGTTATTGTTTTTGAATGCTTTTTAATTCCGACCAGACACGGAGTCAGAGGTGAAAGAGAAAGGAAAAGACAAAAGGTGGGGAGAGGGGGGGGGTCCACAAAAATAAACAATAGTCAACAAGAGTCTGTTTCTAGACCTGCAGAAAGATAAAGAATAGAAAAAAATGGGACAACAACACATCAGGAGCAAGCTATCACTGCGTCAACTTGATGAGGAAATGTAAAATCAACATTGTTTAACTGAACAATCACACGATAATAAATCACAGTGCATTTAGTGGCAACCACAGCCTTAAGACCTGTGTTGAACGTGCCCAAGTCCATACTTATGAGAGCACCATGTGAGCACCTGTGTGTGTACACGCGCTTGTTTATGTAAGGTTTCTCTATAGGAGCATCCAATAGAGAGTGTGAGGGGCCACAGATCTGCCCCCCAAAGATGTGTAGGAGATGGAGGGAGCTCCAAGTCCCAGAGATCCAGGAACTGACCCAGAGCACAGGAACTCCAGGGAGACTGCAACCAGAAAGGCCCCCGTCCCCCTCGAGAGGCACAGAGGATCGCCCCAGGGGGGCACAACCAGCAGCAGGCAGAGTCCCGGGAGATATCAGCGGCAAGCCCACAGGCCCGCCCGCCGCCTCCCACCCCCTAGCTGGCCCAGCCTGGGACCCAGTGACCCGGGACTCAGGGGCGACCACCCCCGCCAGGGGACCCAGCAGAGCCCAGGGACCCAGACCCCATCAGACAGCCACCGGGATTGATCAGGCAGATGCCAAAACTCTTAAACCCCCTGACCCGGGAGCCACGAACACTCAGGCAGACCAAGGCACCATACGCCACACCAGGTGTGGCAGGGGGAGGGGAGACGAAGATCTATATCACCAAAAGAAGTCCCAGGAGAAGGGAGGAGTCAAAGGCCCCACCTGACATATACAGTCATACACAAACACAGTCACACACTCCCTCCCTCATGCTCACACATACACATACAACCAAAGACTTACAAAAGTGCACGCCGGACACCCACTCATGCTCCCCATACACACCCTATTCACTCTGGTCCCAGTACTGCTGTACATGGGGTACAACCATCACCGGTTACCAGAGTTCAACCCTTCCTGCTGGGGTGCTGATGAGCAGGCTCCCCCGCCCAATGCCGAGCAAAATGACCCACCACCCCAGACCCCAACCACACGGCCAGATCTCCCTCCTAGCCTCCAGCCCCAGGAAGCCAAGCGACAACAGAGGTGGCTAAGACCCCTAGTCTCCCTCCACCTGCTCCAATATAGTGTTGTTGTGTGTTGATGAGGTGTATTCATTGGCTGTGGTGAGCGGGCAGTGCGGGCGTTGTCTGGCCTATGCCAGCTGATGCCACCGCACCACCCCACCTGCACCCACAGCCCTCTGTGTCTAAGTGCAGTTTAAAATTGGAAGTGGGCACCGGCACTCGGGATGAGGCAGAAAGATCCCCTGCCAACTGCCGTTGAATGTGCTCAGTCCCAAGGCCCTAAGTGTGTGTTTGTGTGGAATGTCATTGGTGGAAGTGTTTAAGGTGCAAATATAATTGGAGGGCAGGTTGCCACAGGAATGCAGAAATGGGGTCCATTACTTCCCTGACTTGTCCATCCCCCAAGGTCCTACGTGCATGTTTGTGTGATGATGTGAGGGAGCAGGAGGAGAAAAATGTGTGGGGATGGGGAGGAATGGCTGGTTGAGCTTTAATAAAATAATCTTAAGATAGACTCTTAATTCAATTAAATTAATTCATTTGTTAATTCAGTTGGTTGGTTCTTCTGTCTCATTAGGAGCTAGCTGTCGTACCGGTTTTTGACCAGCAGGTGTCACTGTTGCTGTTTATGGTTGAGTTAATGTTAAAAAAGGTTTTTTGTTGAACTTCATACATTTTTTAGGCAGATGAATGTTTGAATGATTGTCGGGCATCTTGCAATTTTATTATTATTGTGAAAATAATAATTAATGGTTATTAATATGTGTAACTTGACAATGTTCTGTAGGTTTTAGATATTTTTGGTATTTTTAATAGTTTACTTGCAATGGTGACACAGGAATTAAGTGCTCACCCCGTAATTGGAAGGTTGCAGGTTCAAGCCCCACCCACACTAGTCACTGTTGTGTCCTTGGGCAAGACACTTAACCCACCTTGCCTGCTGGTGGTGGTCAGAGAGACCGGTGACGCCTCTGTCGGGGTGCCCTAGGGCTACAGTGTAGCTCATCACCACCAGGTTGTGAATGGATGAATGACTGATTGTGTTGTAAAGCACCTTGGGGGGTTCCAGGACTCTAGCAGGCGCTATATCAAATACAGACCATTTATCACAATTTACACAATCGTTTCACTTAAACTATTCATTCATGATTTTAGCACTTTTATGAGACAAAGAAGTGAAACTGTAGTTTTGTGTGTGCGTGCGTGTGTGTGTGTGTGTGTGTGTGTGTGTGTGTGTGTGTCAGAGAGAGAGAGAGAGAGAGTGAGTCACCACTAGTGTACGGGGCTGGGAACCCTTTTGAGGAGCTTGAAAAGCTTTCGAGTTTGTAAAAACAGTCCGACCCTCTGAGTTTTACAGTCAGCTGCACCAACGTGAACCTTTGGAGTTCTACTGTTTAAATAAAACATGGAGATGACGAACCACTTTAAAGCTTTACAGAATAATATTACATTTGGTTGTAAAAGGTAAACTGGGATAACTGGCTTTCAGAAGTGTTCACCATGATCAGCTGATCAAGAATTAAGCTGGTTGTTGTTTCAACAGAAGGAAGTTCGATAGCAGCTGCTTCTCATCGTCTTTGGATCAAGATGCTGATTCTGACTTTCCTCTGATGCAGAACACGTTAGACATGTAAACCGATGGGAAGGTGCTGAGGACACAAATATGAAAAATCAGACTAACCTGGAGTTTTTCCAACAGGTGAGAATGATCTTTTTTATTTATTTAAATCCATTCCAGTTACTATTTAACCTTCTGCAGCATCTTTAACGGGCTGTCAGCTCAGACGCTCTCCTTTCTTTTAGTTCATGAAGCACATTTCGTGTGATGGCGGCTCCCGCCACGATCCTGAACAGGAAAAATCTGGTACAACAGCGGCTAGCGCTACACATCTCATCCTAGCAGAACAGAAAATGTTGTGATCATTTAAAAGAACCACGCCACCTTTAGGTTTGTTTCCATTCGTGTGTCGTTTCTGTGGCGTGAGGCTGTTCTTCTAGGAGTAATATGAAAGACACAAACTGAACCCTGTTAAATCTCTAAACTTTAGATTTTCAGGATGTTAAACATTTTCAATCATCTCAAATGAAAAAGATTTAATTTAGTAAAACTACACATGTGATATTATTTCCTCACGAGAAGTACACCCAAATCCTTATTTTGGCTGCATTCTTGCCTTTTCCTGCCTCAGCTTCAAATCTTCAGTGTGAACAGGCGGTAGTTTGTCATCAGGAGATCTGGGCGCTCTCGGAGTACCCGAAGAGGGCCCAGGTTCGTACGGTTGCGTTAGAGGAGGCTGTGGAGGAAGCTTAGCCGCATTTGACATCAGACCGACACACGCAACTAGCAACAGATACTTTGTCAGTCCTGAAAAATGAAACCAAGAACGTTCTAGACTGTAGACCAGCACAGGCGCGGCCTTGCGAGGGTTCGGCGCAGGTGCGCGCCCTGGAGGGCCCTCTGTCGACGCACAGGTGCAGTCAGAGAGATCAGGGTCAGCCAGTAGTAGAACACGGCTACATTCAACCCCCCCCCCCCCCCCCCCCCCCTTTGGTAGGTGAGTCACCAACCTCAGGGCTGGAGGTCATCCGCGCCAGCTGTATTGGAGTAGGGTCAGTGATCTCGTCGGCCCCCCTTCGGCAGGTGGCGTCCCCACCGCAAGGTACTGGGCATCAGCTGGAGTCTCAGCGCCACCATCAACCCCCCTTCGGCAGGTGGTGTTCCCTCTGCAGGGTGCGTAGTCTCAGGTGGAGCTCCTTTGCAACCGTCAACCTCCCCTAGGGCAGGCGGTTTTCCCACCCCCGGGTGGAGCGATCCTGCTGCAGAGACGACACAGACTCTGTGGGTGTCACTGACCTTGGAGGTACTGGAACGACTGGTCACTCTGGTGTCGCCGTTGCAGTTAACAACACCTAGAGAGGGAATGACTTGAGCACGGAGCTCAGGAATTTATTTTTAGGCCTACATCCAGGAAAAGGTAGCCCATCATCGTCATCAGGCTCTGCTCCTCTCCATGAAGCTAGTCTTTGAGCTGAAACCCGCCTCACCTGAAGGTAGGTCACCCACGCCCACTTTCTCCTAGTTGTGAGCACAGAGCAGTTGATGACGATTGCATTAATTCTCCACCGGCACCAGAGTGGATATTCTGATTACCGTATTTTCCAGAGTATAAGTCGACTTATGGGTGGACTGGGACCAAAATTTGGCCCTGGCATTTTTATGAACCGTCGGCCCTCGACAGGGGAGGTTGCTGCTCGCAACTCATCAATCCCGCAAAATATGGGGGGGGGGGGGGGAGACAGGGTGTTGTATGCACTGCTCGCGGACTGTCTCTATAACCGCATGTGAGGCGGGGGCTTGGTTCGGGATGGCCCAAGCTGGGCAAGTGGCCCGCTTGGCTAAGCGGGCCACCGGGACAGTGCCAGAATGCCAGATGTGCCAGTCCACCCCTGGCACCAGCCATAAAATGTATAATGAAGAAGAAAAACACATATGTCACATTTTGGGGGGAAATTTTATTATTTTTCTTACAAAATCTGAGACCAAGCATTTCACATTGCAAGACAAGTACCGGTAACTAACAGAATAAACAACGCGGGCGCAGCAGCGCGCCACGGTCTCCAGCAGAGGATGCCGGTGTTTGAAACCCTCCCAGCGGGACAGGGGAGCTCATCCCTAGGTTGAAGCCAGCCAGCAGCACCCCGCCACAGGCTGCAGCAGGTGATGGAGGGGCAGAGGAGCTGAAACCTGGACCGGAGCCGGCCCGCAGAAGCGCGGTTTACATAATTTGGTGTAGAAGTCGCAGGACCAGCTAGACTGTGCAAAAAAGTGCGACTTATAGTCCAGAAAATACAGTAATTACTTCTGCATTGAGGACAAAACACCGCCGTAGAAATCACGAGTCCTGTCCACAAAGACGCACACACTGGCCAGCTCAGGACCGACTTGGTAGCTCAGTAGTTCGAGTAGCTGACTTGGGATGCTACACAGGTTCGACTCCCGAGCTCAGCAGTAACTTCTTTTCTTCTTTTCTGCTTGAGTCCTCAGCCCTTCTGGAGGAGACGAGCTGAAGATCTGCCTGTCGATGACGAGACGTCCAGCTGTTGGGTCGGTTTGTCGGTCGTCGTCCTCTGCAGGGGTCTACAGAGCCAGACCCGCATCTGGTAATGGATTTAATGGATTTACATACTATACATATTATTACTTAGATTAGCCATTTTTATATTTTGCTTGTTTTTACGTTACTGTATTTTTGCACAACTCTGTTGCTGTGAAGCTCGCACACAAGAATTTCACTCGCATGTACTGTACCAGTGTACCTGCACATGTGACGTGACGATAAAAGTGATTTGATTTGATTTGACACTTGCCAGAATGATGTTTTCAACCCTTTATTGGTAAATATTAGGACTAATATATATATGTTTTTTTATACAGTCTTTTTATTTAGCTGGTGTGAGTCCATGTGAGGTGAGCAGAGTAAATCCACTAAAATCTTTGACCAAATTCAAACTATTTTGCAGAAAATAATTGATAAAACAAAAATATAAAAAGATAAAATGCCTCAGCTGGCTACATAAATTACTGCCGACACCAGGAGCCGAAGCGGTATCAGGACATGGTTGAACCACCGGACCACAGAGACCAATACAACAGCAGACTTGCCTTAGATGCTGTTGACGGTGCGTTTTGTCAGAGTGGGCGGAGCTTAACTGAAACCATTTCTTTTCCAGGTACAAATTCAGACTGGTGAAAATGACTCGTTTTTTAAGATAAATGACATCAATAGTGCCAATGGGGATTTTTGCCATAGATTGTGCCCGCCTTTGCTCTAAGTTTTAAAATAACACGATCTGGAACTTTAAAGAGCAAGTCACCCCCAGATCTACTTTTTTTTTTCTTAAACAATATAAATGCGTGTCTAATCGTGCTGCAGACACATGTAGTCAATAGTTTTGCACTTTAGTGCATTTTAGTTAACTTTTAACTTTCTGCCTAAAACTGGCAGTGTTGTGCCGTTGTCAGGTAAAAACTCTGCACTGCATTTGAATTTTAATCTGCCATCGCTATTGGCTAAGAGGTAGCCTAGAACGTTAGCTGGTACCATATGATGTCACAATGTCATTTTGAGCCTGTGTGTGTGTATTTGTTAGCGGCTCCGCCCTCTCAGTCTGCTAGGCAACAGCATTTGTTGCATTTTTCAAACTGGAAGTAAGAGTAGAGAAGGACTCTGGTAGGGGGTGACTTGCTCTTTAAGCATAAAAAATGGCAATGCATTGATTCAGCAGCTTGTAAAACTAAAGGAAAATAAGTTTTGTTCTCAACTTTCACACATTAATTAGTGACACCTTGAATAATATATTGTCAGCTAATAATTATAAAAGCTAAATTTACCCAGGTTATTCTAATTCTGTTCATGTTTATATAAAATACTTAACACAACTACTATAACAACCAGTTGTTTTAATGACCTGTCATTTATCTTGAGAGTAAAAAGACCTGCGCTAGATTCCGTTCCGACATCAGTGATTTAAAATAGTTTTTCCGTTTCTGCTTCACAAATAAGAGTTAATCATTTTCAGGGAAAAGTTTCGTCACTTTCTTACACTTTTTATTTTACTACATGCTCCTAAAATAGCCTTTTATATGAAGACATTTGTTCCAGGTTTACTAGGTGAGGTCTACAGGAGCACACTGGTAACGGATTTATCTTTTGACTGAATTATTTTGCATTTTTCTTTGATAAAATCTCATTTCAGAATTTGACTCATAAATGCGGGGTGGAAGGAAAAGCTCGAGCCAGACCAGTATCAGAAATATACATTTATTTACAAATGGTTTGCATTGCATAGAAATTTTAAAATGAAACTGAAATAAACAGATTTAGAAGTGAAACTCCTTTTAGCTGAAGGGAACGCTGAAGTTTACAGGTTTTATTTTTTCACATAAATACACATAAATAAAATCAGTGGCTTTTTTTAACAGAAGTATCCGACTTTGAAGCAGCGGTCAGGATCATGTCACGCGATCACGCACCGATATTAGTTTATCAAGTTATTAGACATGTTTGGTTCTTAATAAGGGCCATCGCTGTGGAACAGAGTTGAAATAAAATCAGCTACAATCCTTTAAACGTGACAAAATAATTAAATTACTGTAGATGACGTGTGGTTTTTACAGCTCGTCTCTGGCAGGCGACTGGTTTTATTAGTTTTGGTCTCTCAGCCCTTTTTGTTTAACATCAAATTAAATCTTGGAGAACGTAAAAAGACGATTATGTTTCTGTGTGAACATTTAAAATAGAAGCTCTGGCTGTACATGAAGCGGTGCGAGAATGTGCGTAAAAGAAAATAACAAATCTTTGTCAAAGCGAGGCGTTTATTTGCATTAAAGCTCTGTAAAAGGTGTAATCCTCACTGTGCAACAAGAACGTAAAAAGCTTAAATTAAGTTTGTTCTGCTTGAGTCCTCAGCCCCTCTGGAGGAGACGAGCTGAAGATCTGCCAGTCGGTGTCGAGACGTCCAGCTGTTGGGTCGGTTCGTCGGTCGTCGTCCTCTGCAGGGGTCTACGGAGCCAGACCCGCAGGTGACCGGTTCAGAACTTTAACTACCAACCCTCTCTCTCTCTCTAATGGATTCACATTTAAAATGCGCCACCTCCTCTCGTATAATACTATCGATGAGTCATTCGGTCGCTTTGGGTCCAGGGAAAAGAATTCATCCAATCAGGCGTCAAACATTTCTCCAACTTTCCAATTTTTCGGGTCATTTCCGTCTCTGGAAAGATTAAAAAGGTAAAGACTAAATGCTGAACTTGAGGTTTTTTAATCAACCAACAGTAAACAGCCTGTGACCTTTGACCCCAAGATCCCCACAGCAGGAAGTCTCGAGCCTGGCTTCATGCCTTCTGCTCCGTCTCCGTGAAAAGTTCACACTCGTACCGTTTCCACCTATCCCTCCACAAAACTTCTCTTTTGTACAAATCCTCTTAAAAATATAGTTTTTTTTTACACAATTTCTCGATCAAAGAGGGTAAAAGGAAAAAGTACAGAGGAAATATTACAACACTTGGAAAAATATGTGCATGTTGTGTTCAAACATCTGGAACGCCGATTCACATTAACAGTAGATCCCCTCCTGCAGCTACGCTCAAATTTACTTAAATCCAGACGGAAAATCAAATCGACTGGTTGGAGTGACCTGACACAAATGCTGTGTTCACAGGTGCTTCAGCGAGGTGAGAGCGCAGGGAAACATTCAGAGAAGGTGGGATGAAGGTACTTCCTGGAGTGCACGCTCACTTAAACTAGACTACACCCGTCTCCACGTTCACTCACCATCCACCACTTCCTGTCCCCTCGAGCTTCTTCTAACGTTAATCTGTGTTACGAGTGATCTGGTTAAGTTCTCAGACTCATTCGTGTCCCGCCTCTGAGGCGTTCAGGTGAAAGTTTGGCTGATGAGCACCAGTTTAGATTATTAATGGCACTAAAAGGCCTCCGAACTGTGCAGAAAAGATCACGACAGGTAAAGGAGCAAAGGCAGGTTCACATGACTGAAGAGCTGAAGAAATCGTATGCTGCTATTTTAATGTGGAGAGTGGGCTAAAGAGGCCAGGTGCCTTCAACAGGTGAGCTAGTTAGGAAAGGGGGTGGCTGACGAGTCCGTGGCCCTGCAGGAGAGCCGTTTGTGTGTTAAAATTTCTCATCGGGGATGACTGTGTTGAAGGGGTGGTCCCAGAACGTGGTGGTGATTCCAAAACCTGCAGAGGAACAAAAAACACAAACAAGATGATTAAAAATGACGGCGTTGCCGAGAAGAAGAAACAAATACAAAGTTGGGGAATGCTCCGACTTTAATCACAACGTCCTTCACAATCTGTCTTCCTGTATAAACATCTACCAAAAATGTTTGAATCCCATAAGTTTCAGGTATCTTAAGGTACTTGTGAATGTTTGAAACTCTTATTGTGAAGGGGTTATGCTGCAGATGAAAGTAAAAGATCACAACCAGAACCTTCGATGGCTGTGATAAAGAACACTATTCAACTCCAATCTCCTTGTTTCCTTCCCAGGAGCCTTAAATCCGAGTCAACAGAGAGCAAGAACACTTCAGGTGAGAATTTCTAAAAACATCTCAGGTGCTTGTAGATGAAGCGATTTCCATATCCAGGACAGGAGGATGCTGCGTAACCATAACAACCATTTGTTGGAGGTGCAAACCCACCGCCTTCCAGCTCATGCATGGACATGATTGTGTGGCTAAAGCTTACAACTCCTTATAGAGAAGAGTTTTTTACCATAATGTTTCATTTACTGAGACAGTTGTCACACCTGTAAACCCAACACTCAGTTTAAAAGGGGATTTTGGTTATTTTTCTACAGTAAAGTCCATACTTGCAAGTGATGTCAAAGTAGGCGGAGTCTCTAGAAATGGGAAGATTCATAAAATGTACAGGCCAATTTCTGATATTGAAAACTGACATGTTAGAACACTACATTACCTGTGATATTAATGCAAATAGCAAAAATTTTATTCAAACTCAACATCGTCTGCATTACGCTGCTGCTCCCCGCCTGAATAGTGACGGAAGTAATTCAGATGTTGGTTTGAAACAAACCATCTCTGGCTCAAAAGTAGAGGCTTAAAATGGGTGAATTAGCATTTGTGTGGCTTTTTTTTTTAATCTTCCATGATTGTTAGAAATACCAGAAACCAGCCACTAGGGTCTGTTAGTGAACTGGATAAGGATTGCTCCAATAAGAATACCACTTCTGGTTTCTAGATGCTCCACCCATCTGAGTGACATCACCTGCAGGTATAATTGGTAGATACATTTAAATTGTTGAGTAAGGATGAAATAATACCCGATTTTTAAATGCATTTCAGCATCATTTTAATACATTTCCACAATTTTGACAGTCAAAAGTTGTTTTGTGTGCAACTCCAGCATTGTGGCTAGCAGGAGAAAACAGAACTACATTTGTTGTGAGAAGCTGTAAAATAATCAAAGGTCAAAAGCTCGTTTTTGCTCTTAATTCAAACTTTCTACATTTTATTATTTGAAGAACTAGAACTCATTTGGGCCTCTTACACACGAGCATCAGCTCCACTCCGCCCACCCCAGCCTGGCCGCGTTCATTGCACACTGCCTTAGGAAGGCGGGTGTGATCGAGTGCATCTCCAAGCACGTGGTCAAGGCAAAGTGTGTGGGGAAGTCTGCAACTCTGCCATGTTAAACAAAAGCAGCCTGAGTAATTTTGCTTTGGAGACTCCCTGGCTCTGTCCAAATTCAGGGGTTACATGTAGCGATGTGTACCGAATTAGGTACTTTTTAAGGTACCGACTGAGCACCGATTCACGTCATTTGAAACGGTGCCTCGTTTCGGTACCCGTCCTTCATAACAAGAACTTGCCTAGACAGCTGCGCACGCGCAAGAGCGTTATGTCGTCGGTCGCTGCGAGCCAGTTGTAAACAGAGCAGCATGGTAGAAAGAACGCACGCTAAAGCTTGGGTCCACTTCACTAAATGTGATGGGTAACTGGGTGATGATGAAACCAGCGACAACGATCTAAGTGAGACATCCTCATCTTAGGCCTAGTCCACACGTAGCCGGGGTTTTTTGAAAATGAATATCCGCCCCTCCAAAAACTTGCATCCACACCACCGCGTTTTAAAAACAAACTCTGTCCACACGTACCCGGATAAATACGTTGTTAAGGACATGCCAGACCTGTAGGCGGCAGTACTTCCCCCGTTCTTATCCTCGTCCTTCGTCTGTGGTCTTACGCAAGTAGCAGTAATTCCGCTTGCAAAAACAAACAAGCAGAAAGCGCTTGGACAATAGATGGATCGGGTAGTGACAGAGCGCAGCTCTGAGGGCTTCCATGATGCCGGCTAGTATAAACACAGGTCGCACACGTGATGTCAGCATTTTTTTGTCGCGGAAAGTGACGTTGCGGACCTTAAAACTCCGGTTTTGTCCGTCCACACGCAGACACCCAAAACGGAGAAAACGCAGATCTTCACTTTGGCCGGAGTTTTTAAAAAGATCCGTTTTCGTGTGAAAAAACTCCGTTTTCGTGTGGATGACAGGCCAAAACGTAGAAAAATATCTACGTTTTGGCAGATCCCTGGCTACGTGTGGACAGGGCCTTAATCTGCTCCGGTAGGTAAATAAAATGTTTACGATAATGTTAGCTTGATTCGTTAGCTTCCGTTCTGCTAATGGTGCATTTGCTTTCTCCTCAGAACTCCGAATCTCCGGCTAGAACAACATGAACGCGCTCTAAAGTTTGGCTTCACTTTACTAAATGCGACGGGTGATTGGGTGAAGATGAAACCAGCGGCAACGATCTAAGTGTGAGGCATCATCGTTTTAATCTGCTCCAGCAGCTAAATACACTGTATAAGATAACGTTAGCTTGATATGTTAGCTTCCATTGCCGCTATTGTTATGAGCTACTGGTGCGTTCACTTTCTCCTCGGAAATTCTAACTTCCCAGTAGGAAAAATCAAAGAAAAAGGACGGCAAAAGGAATGAAGATACACAGTAAATTTAGTTCACAGTAAAGATGTTTGCTTCAGTTTAATTATCAGCTTATAAAACTACAAGGACGATGTTAAAATACAAACAGTTGTATGTTATTTATCGTGATATTTATCAAATATGGTTATGTATTGAGAAAAATATATAATTATAAAAGAGAATTAAAATATTAAACACTCAAAAGTATCTAAAATTGATACCGTTAAGTACCGGTATCGATTCCTATGTACCGGGAATTTGTACCGAATCGATTCATATGTCAAAGGTACCCATCCCTAGTTACATGAGGTCTGATTTAAAGACAAGTGGCGTCACAGCGCTGCAACGAAGACTGTCCTAATTCAAAGAGTGCTCAGAATGCGGTCTTGAAATCAGTTCCCTTCCCTGGATTTCGAGAACAGATACGGTGTTTTTCACCTCTATAAATCCTGAGATGCAATGTGGGACATCACAGTAACGTTTTCAGTACACCAAATTACTCATGTCACGAATCTAGCTTAAGTTGGCGTGAATTTGGTAAGAGCTTTTAGACGTAAAAATTACACTATACCAGCAGCTCAGCCTGACTTACAAAATATGCCGGTGCTACATCTGCTGTAGCTCTTCAAACAGTAACAAACCAAGGAGAAAGTTTAAAACATGTTGCGCTCCATTTCTGCAGTTGCTATGAGGCAGGGGGACATCCGCCGAAGTTAGGACGGGACCATTTAAGGCTAGACTGTTCAAATCCACAGCTATTCACATCCGGTCTGACCAGACCAATGAGGACGGTTACTTATGAGCATGCAATCCCTGAATTTGGACACATACTCTGATTTTGCATCCTGTATTGTGTCTGGCAGCAGTGTGTGTGCACACTCCTTACAGCAGTGAGAGGTAGTAAAAGGCTTCAGTCAGATCTGATTCTACCCATCAATCGAACACTCCCAACCCAGTCCAGGCGGAGTGGAGCTGATGCTAGTGTGTAAGTGCCATTAAGGTTAATTTTCAGGCAGTCTTGGGCGGTATACCGGTTCATACTACAAACCGGTGTTTATTTTGGTTATGATATGAAAATTTTCACATACCGCTATACTGGTGAATGGCCTAAACAACGTACAGAACGTTCGTAGTAGGAAAGTGTTTCAGCGGGGACTCGTTTCACTGCTACACACAAACACCACAGCGTGGTGAAACCAAGAATGGCGGCTGGCGGGAGCTGTCACGGCGACATCAAAACTTCGAACACAGAAGATTTTTTCCCAAAAAGAGGAGCCACGTCTGTTGTTTGGAGGTATTTCAGGTTTAAAAGTTCAGACTTGGAGCAAACAACTATTATATGCAAATGCTGTCGAGCAACGGTGGTAGCCGGCGGGGGTTATACCAGCAACTTGCTTCATCACCTCAGCCGAAAACACGTCTTGGAATACCAAGCATGTCTCGTGCTTCGATCTGCACCCTCCACCTCCAAGGCTAAAACGGCTAGTAACAGTCAGAGTCAGACGTCCGTTCGCTAAAGGGACTGTATTTTTAAAAAAAGCAAGCGGTGGGTCGAGATAACCAATGCAATAACGTTGGATGTTAAATCATAAAGATGGTTAATTGCACAGATTATATGCAAAATGTGTTCAATAAAAAAAGGTTTATTTTGACTGCAATATTTCATCTTTCTAGTTGTTTTTTAACTGCTTTCTTTTGACAAGGATACTTTGAGGGGGTTTCTGCATTTACCTACCTGTGACTGGACATGGAAAAACTGGTATTCTGCACATGAAGGTAAAACGGGCTATTTAAGGCCAGTCTAGTGCAGTAATTCTTTTCTTATAAAAATAATCTGGGTAATCTACTCCAGACTATCCACCATCGGCATTTCAAAAACTCCTCTAAATTGGTCCAAATCATATCTATCTAATCGCACTCAATTTGTCCAACTGCGCACCTTCCACTCTAACCCAAGCCAGTTACCTCTGGAGTTCCTCAGGGCTCAGTCTTAGGTCCCCTTCTCTTCATAATCTATTTACTCCCACTTGGCAATATCTTCAGGAAATGTATTCATTTTCACTGCTACACCGATGACACCCAGCTCTACTTCTCTACCCAACCAAACCCCCTGCTCCCTTCATCCTCCCTTCTCAGTTGTCTCACCGAAGTCAAATCCTGGTTTTCTTCTAACTTTCTACAGCTCAACAGCAATAAGACTGAGATCCTCCTCACTGGCACCAAGTCATCTCTATCTAAGACCAGTTCCTTCTCACTCAGCTTCGACAACGCCACACTCCTCCCCACTGCCAAAGCTAAGAGCTTGGGTGTCATCTTAGACAACACCTTATCCTTCATTCCTCATATTAACAACACAATAAAAACTGCTTATTTTCATCTTCGCAATGTCAGTCGGCTCCGCCCCTCCCTCAGTCAACACTCCACTGATATTTTGGTCCACAGCCTGGTCACCAGTCGCATTGATTACCGTAATGCCCTCCTCTCCGGTCTCCCTCTAAAATCACTCAACAAACTACAGTTAGTCCAAAATTCAGCTGCCTGGATAATCACCGAGACCTCCACTTTTGATCACATCACCCCTGTCCTGCAACAACTTCACTGGCTCCCTGTCAAATACAGAATTGACTATAAGATACTTCTTCATACCTTTAAAGCCATCCATAATCTCGCTCCCCCATATCTTTCTAATTTCCTCCACATCGTCACTCCCACTCGCTCTCTCCGATCATCATCTTCACCTTCCCTGTCTGTTCCTCGCACTCGTCTCTGTACTATGGGAGCCAGAGCTTTCAGCCACTCAGCTCCAAAACTCTGGAACGCTCTGCCGCCTGACCTCCGCAATATAAACTCCTTCTCACCCTTCAAGTCTCAACTCAAAACTCACACGTTCCGCCTGGCTTACTCACTGTAACTGTCCTCCTTCCATCTACTCTTTTTAGTCTATTATCCATTGCACTGCTCCGACTCTACCCTTGGAAATTACTCTTAGCATTTATTTCTTGTTGTTTGTATTGCTTGCTGTTCCTTATATTTTGTCTTGTACAGTGACCTTGAGAGCTTTGAAAGGCGCTTGAAATAAAATGTATTATTATTATTAATCATGGCCTTGTGAAAAATACCGTCAAATACCATAAAACCGATATAATTTTAAAATAATACTGTGATGACATTTTTGCCATACCGCCCAGGCCTATTTTCAGGAATATCTTTGGTCCAAACTTCTTCAGTAGAATCAAAGTTAAGAACTCTTGAAGTATTTTTTGATGGACCTAAACGGTACAGGAAGTGTGATGTTGTGCTGACCTGTTTTCTGGTGCTCAAAGTGATGTTTTACATGGTAGGCCTTCAGACTGTACAGGTACGTTCCTCGCTTTGGTGATCCGTAGTGAAGATAGTAGTGAATCATGTCGTACACAACGTAGCCGCACAGCCCTCCGACGAACACGGATACCCCGAGGATCTCTGGGAGCGTGCTGAGGAGAAAGATATAAAAAGTTCCCACGACTAAGGAGGCCAGACCAGGAGGGAAGACGAGCCGAGAGCCATCAAACGGAGACTGTGGAGACAACAAAATACATGATGGAGGAATACATTTTTATTTGGTTGTAAATAGAAATTATTTAGCCTTTCAACCTATTTTTCTAATGTAATAAAATATTAAATATTACTCGTGCTTATACTAATTATTCACAGGAACCATTGCAAAAGTTTGACAGCAGTGATCTGCAGGGTGTTAGCATGTGAAAGTAAGAAGGTGAACCAAGGAGAACACCAATATTAGCTGTGAGAACCTGGTTCTACCTTGTGGTGCTGCCCGTGCAGCAGAAAGTGCAGCGTGATGAGGTAGTAGTTGTGCGCGGGCGGTTTCATGTGGAAGACGAAGCGATGGATGCAGTATTCAATGAAAGTCCACAAGAACCAGCCCATCAGGAAAAACATTGGGAACATGTACTTATGGATGGGGATGGACAAGTCTGGGAACACACACACACACACACACACACACACACACACACACACACACACACACACACACACACACACACACACACACACACACACACACACACACACACACACACACACACACACACACACACACACACACACACACACACACACACACACCCTGGTCTGTCTAGGTATTCAAATAAAAACATGGGTTGGTAAATAGGTTGTGTTTACGCTACAGGTGTGTTACCTGAAGTGACGTCTATCCTTGAGGTGCCCTTTGCCATGGTGGTGTAGCAGTACCAGCTGAGATAGAACACCAGGGGGAGCCAAACCACCGGTACCCAGTACCTGGAACCATCAGAAATCACCTGTTTGGTTTTTATTTAAATGGAAAAATCAGAGTTCAACAAGAGGAGGCTTAATCCCACGTAGATAAAAGTGTGCCCAACTCATGACGTAGGCCTCAAGAACCAGACAGCAGCTAAAAGAAGCATTAATCCCAATCTTCACCTCAATCCAAGATTTTTGAAGCTCAGAAAATAAAAATGGTTGCGTTTCTGAGCTGAAAACAACTGCCTTTAATTTTTTAAGGTCCTGATTCCAGGGTTCAAACTGGTGCATTAAACCCTTAAAGGCCTGAATCTCAACTGGGTATTTTTTATGAAGTGCTTTAAACTAGAAATGCACAAAATATTTCCTGGTGATTAAAATTGGCCAACATTCAGCATGATTACTGTTTAACCCTCTGGAGGCAGGCGGGTTAAAACCTACCTACCTGGTTACTCCACACATATTTCATGAGCATTTTTAACGCAGAAGTACCCTGAAGGACTTAGTTGTTCATCCTTCTATCAAAACTTATTTTGAGCCTGAGAGGGTTAATCTGTGATCCGAATGTCACTCATGTATAAATTTTCATACCAGAATCATAAATATTAAAAATAATACCAACAGGTCGACCGAATTGGTTTTTCTAATGCTGATGCCGATGTGTAGGTGACACGGTCGGCCGATGGTCGATAGATACTGCTGATTGTTGTGGGTCGATTTTCATGGCCAACATCGAGACGTCTTCCAGCTTAATTTCATGCTAAACCGTTATCAACATCGGTTGATGCACAAAATTAAACTCTGCACTCTGAATTAAACCAACTGTTAAATCTGAACTTTATGCACTGCTCAGTGTTAAAGTCAGACACCTAAATAAAGTTGATTTAGAGTATTTATTATGCCGATGTCATTAGTGAACATAAACACTTTTAAAGGAGATTCTGCTACATCACCTGTCTGCCCAAAGATGTGCCTGACTGTAAATCGGCTTTACTCAGGACAAATATCAGCCCGATACACCGTCTACTCCTAGTTAATATGAATTAATACATTTGAATGTAATGAACATCTAACCCTAACCCTTCCCAGGTTCATTTCCCTTTGACCCGTTGGCTCAGCGTCAGTCCCATTCTGTCAAACTGAATAACGAATGTGAGTCAAATCTAAAATAATAACAAAGCTGGTGAGTTTGGTTTGTTGCATTTTGTTCCTAATTAGCATTAAAATGTTTCACTAATACCACACTAATGTTTCTTATTAATAATACAATTAAAATATTACAGCTGTTAAAAATCGTAACTGCGTTAAATGTGACTATTTTCTACACTGATGTATATTCCTCACCAGGACGTCTTGGTGCCGGCTTCCAGGAAGGCATTCCCAAAGAGTCTGATGGGTCGGTCGACCGGCTGGTGAACCCATGCGTCGTACTTCTCTCCCAGGTGACCCACCTGCCAGGCCAGGGGCTTTGTCCAGTCCACCAAATCCTAGAAATGTGTGAGAACCAGTCACAAGGGCCTCCAGAGCCAGGAAGGAGATGAATAAGGGTTTGCTCCAGCAGGTGGAGGCAGAAAGTTACAACCTTCCAGGATCAGCCAAACAGGAAGTGTGTGAACATTTTGAATCTGAGTGCGTGTTTCTCTGCAGGTTTGCTTCAGCCCAGTTTAATGACAGCAACAGTTAAAACGTTTCATTGAGGCCAAAGCCCAGAGGCAGCTTCTCTTTACGGGATCTTTACGGGCTTCCCATGCGAGTCAGCTGAATAAGAGCTTGTTATCAGGAGAAATAATCCAGATTAGGAAGCCAACTCCACCTGAGTGTATAAGAACTTTACACATTTACCCCTGAAGCATCAAATGATCCAAACGCTTTCATGGTCTTTATTTTAAATTATGCTTAAAACACGTTGGGTAACTTAAAGGTTTCAGGCTCATTAAAAGGTGATTAGAAGACCCGCCCCGGTCACGTGACCTTGTACTGACTCTGAAGACACGTCAACAAGTTCACGAGTCGCTGGTGTCACCTACGTGTTCTCAGCAGCAAGATAAGCCCACAGGTGGGTTACCCGTCTCATCACTATCTAAATAAATCTCCAACCGTCCATCATTCATCCACCAGCTGGCGAAGGTTCAAGTTTCATAACAAAACAAATTTGATTAGAACTGAAAAATATTTTAAAAAGCTGTTTATCTCACTGCACTCCATTACCTTTAGAAGAAGAAAATATTTCTATAGCGCCTCAAGATAAAAATCACGAGACGCTTCACAAAAATGAAAAAATATAACTAATCATTTAGAAAATGATTAAAAATATTTTAAATGAGCAAAAAATAGACAATTGTGATTAAAAAATGTAAAGAAAGAGAGAGAGTGAATAGGAAAGAGGGAAATCAGTGGATTCTGGGGATGCAATGCAACCGTGATCCCGACCCTGCAGCTCACAGACCCATCAGGAAACAAAAATCATCTCGGGGAGGTATTTAAAGAAAACAGATCCAGACTTCAGCTCAAAGATTTTAGAGTGCGAGGCTTTTTCATCAACACTCACTGCAACACTCTTGTAGCGTTATTAAGATCCTATTGTCTGCCCTTAACAGCTGCCCCCTTCACACAGTAACGGCGTGCATGAATCGCCAAGGTCGGGTGCTTGTTTCTAAATGTTTACATTCCAGGAAAGGAGACAGAAGAAAGAAGAAGAACGCTTCTCATTAATTAGTCAAAGTACTTTATTTGTGATGAAGCTAATCAAAACATATGTTGATCAATAATAATCAGGTGACTGATCTGTGAAATCAAAATGTCATGATTTATGTGTTTAATGAATAAACAGGACTGCGCACCAGACATACTATTCCACAGAACATAAGAACGCATGACACATTGTTCTCAGCCAATCAGAGCTTTCGTCTGTCGCAGGGCAGAATCTGGGCTGTTTACTTAAATTGTCCACTCCGATTTGCTAAGATTTATAAACAACTAAGTTAATAAAAACAGAGCAACACCATTTTAACTTCAGTTCCACCTGAGTTCCAAAGGAGTTACATCACAGACTCAACGTAGTTTCAACCAGCTCTCAAATCATCATCACTAAAGGAGATTAGAGTCTGGCCAGCTGTGTTTTTCTACTTTTAAGCTGAGAACTGTCAAGCTGGAATTTCTGTCGTTTGAACAACAAGACGACGGTTCCTTCACAATAAAAGCTGAACGCGCTGAGACCTGCCGCTACTGCCGGAGCTATCCGTAGACGGGTTTGTCGTGCTGCAACACTGTTTCATCAGTCCAGTACCAAGGAGGTCCGAGGACCTGACATTCCTGATCTGACCACGGGAGACTCCATACGGTACGTAGCCTCGGCAAGATGGCGTTTCATGTCAAGAGCTACTGAAGCCCTCGTGGTAGCTAGTCTAAACATCAGACACCCAGATCCGCCTGCCTCAGCCTGGAGATTCTGAACACACACACACACACACCAACACTTCAACATTCAAATCCATATGCATCCATCATAGAGATTTAGTCCTGGTACATTGTTTGAATTTATAATTATAGAAATTAAAGATTCTTAAACGATCCCAACTCTCTCTTTTCTTGTCTCTAAGTCAATACAAAGTGTTTAAATAAAACTCCCTGAAGAAAAAACAACCTATTCTGATTATAATATCTGGACCTAATAACAGTGTAAGAATATACAACTATATTCCACTACAACTCCAACCTAAACTGCTTATTTGATTGGAAGTCGCTCAAATGCAAATCAGATTTCGGGGCTGGAGAATGGATTTGCTTTCCCAAATTGTCACCATTTTTAAAATATGCTAAATGGTTCATTAACAGGAACCTACTGTGTTTAATCATTTCCTGCATTTTCCGGCTTCTTCACCATCCTGCTGCCTCCTCTTGTTCCCAGTCTCACATTCATTTACAAAAGAGGCTCAAATCAGGGTATCTGCAGGTTTAAGGGAGCCACATTTAAGACTTTTTTTAAGGTCACTTTGACCAAATTTAAGCTATTTTTTTAATTAAATTTAAGCTATAATTTTCAGCTATTGCCTGAAATCGGTGCTAACCACGTCGCAAACGTGGGATTAGCCATCCAGTAACCATTAAACTTGCACTTCCCCATGGCGCGAGCTCCCACTAGCTCAGGGGTCGACAACCTGTTCCCATCAAAGAGCCATTATTAGCCGTTTCCCACAGTAAAGAAAACACTGGGAGCCGCAGCAGCCGCGGCGTTGTGGGCGGGGCCTACCCTCAGACAGCAGAGCGCTGCTCACAACAGGTGACAGCAGCCAGTACCGGTCGCTCGTGTACGTCAGAGTTATCTTTCATAAGACGATAATCAATAAAACGATTCATGTAAAATGGATCCAGAAGTTGTAGCCTGTCTCTGCCTACAATATTTTGATATTCTTCACCCTGTTGGTGGTTTTACTGAGCAGGTGTCACTTTTGTCATACGTTTCTTTTTAAAACATGTTTAGACTGTTCAGAATACAAATCCAGGCTCTGTCACGTTTGACTGTTGTAATTAAACTTTGTAGGTGGGGAAGGTCAGAAAAGGATCCGATCAATTTGTTTTTCCCTCATTTACAGTGACGGAGATAACGGCGCAGTGCGCCTGGCTCTGGTGGTAATCAAGTTAAATTATATCTCTTTGCAACAAGTTTCACCAGAAAACAGAACAGTTAAAAGGAGGGCTTGTGTTGTGTTGACCGGATAGTTCCCGTATTTGACCGTTTATTTTGACGGAGAAAGAATAGAAAGAATTACCCCGACGCATGCAGAAGAACTGACACTTTATTCTACGCACATTGCAGATGTAGCTAAATCACTCAAGAAATGATTCCCATCTGAACACCTGAGCTGGACACTGCTCAGCGCAGCTCGCTGTCAGCGTGTACTACATAAGGTACACAGCGAGCTGAATATGTGGAGAGGGGCTTGGAGCGCGTCGCAGAACCAGGGCGCATGCAGGAAGATTCCTCCGACTGAAGCGAGTGTTTTCCAAACCCTGTCTCTCAGAGAGACTTGTCACTTAGAAAATGTTCCCTGATTATGAAACTTTGGCTGAATAGTGCTTGTTCCTGTCCAATGTGGCGACACATCCAGGAGCCGTCTGAGGAGAATCTCACATCCTCGTCAGCTCAGAAAGTGCCTATGATTACACACAAGCGTGACCCGTCAACCCGGTCTCACAGTAAGACCGGGTTGGACCTGTTCAGGTTTACGCAGACAATCTTTACATTTAGAATTGGCATACAGATGTAAAATTAATGCAGTAAAATATAAAGCATTTTATTTAAATATCCATTCATTATTTTACAAGCACAGAGAGCCGCATCAGATGGATGGAAGAGCTGCATGCGGCTCCAGAGCCGCGGGTTGCCGACCCCCGCACTAGCTTAACCAGCTAATGTGCTCATCTAAAAATAGCCCCCTTTCACAACCAACTGAATGTGTACGGTTCCGCTTACGCCAACATCGTACACAAAAAACGCTGAACACTAACTAGAAAGTCACGAAAATGGTATAGAAATAAAATAATCTTGTTTATTGGGTCTTTGGTAATTTAAGACCTTTGGAAACTGGATTTAAGAATTCTTTGTAATTTTTAAGAATTTTTAGGGCCTTAAATTTGGAAAAGCAAATTTAAGAATTTAAGACTTTTTAAAGACCTGCGGATACCCTGTCAATTTATTCTATCGTTAAAATTTCTCAAATGTTCCATTTGTTTTTCCTGCAAAAAATATTAATTTACTTTCAGAGTTTGCATTTTTCTAGCTGCACATTTTCAGTTATGATTTAAAAAGCATCCAATCAGAATCAAACAAGCATGCATGTTTCATTCTTCAGAAATTTGGGAATTGCAAATATATATTGGAGCATCTTGTGTTTGACGTGGTGCGTCTGGAGTCAAAACAAAAACTGGTCAGAGATCAGCTGCCTCCATTTGTCAATCGATGGTTTGTGGTTTTGTGCTGCAACAAAAGAAAAAATTGAGCAGGAAACGTTGGTTCAGTGCAGCGGCTGCTCGCCTCGTCATCAGTCACTAGACAGAAAACAAACCTTAATCTGACATTTAGTTTTGGATGTAAAGGAAAAAAAGAAATGAAATTGACAGTCATGCTGTTAACAAAACCACAGGAGCTACTTCCCTACGGTAAAACGATGGTTTAAGGGTTAACGGAGTAGTTTTGCATGTGGAACGGTTAGTATCTTTCCTGCATCAGATGGCAGCAGGAGGGAGCCAATCATTGCAGGAGTCATTCATGAATGAATTTCAGGAATCTGAGAACAGTTGGACCAAATTTTTGATGCATTTCCATTTTTTCTGTCTCTATTTTCTTCAAACCATTTTGTTCTTGTGGGTTCAGGTTGAGGTTCCCTGAAGAAGTTTCTCAGGTCTAGAAGCAGCGGGAGGTTTAAGCCTCCTGATCAAAACTCAACGCTTTGGGACGTACCTCACATGTGGATCAGGACAACAAAAACCCTCAGACTCTCATGAGGAGAGCAGCTCGCATTAATGAAGCTCTCACCACAGTTTCAGTGCTTTTTGTCAGACATTTTTCAGTTTGAATCAAAAAATCTCCTTGCTTAAGAAAAAAAAACGACTAGCTAAAGGTTCTCAAGAGGTCTTTGGGCCAGGATGACCAAGAACCTTCTGCTGATCCAAGATGAAAAAGCATGCCTGCAAAATACTTCAGGGGTTTAACTTAAGAACTGAAGATGTTTTCAAATGTTCGAATGTTGGATTAACCAAGTAAAGCTTTTGACCGTCCGTAATCCCGATCAAGGACATAATGACACCATCGACATATATACTGGACAACTCGTGTCCGTAGGCTCCAATAATAAGTTTTTAAGCCAAAATGGGAGGTGGCCACCACCGCCATTTTGACCGTACAGGTTCCGTCAAGCCCAGACAATTCCACAAAAGGGAAGAGAGGAGGAGCTGAGGGTGTGGCTGTAAGGCTGGGATCAACTGACAACACCCGGTCGAACTAGCTACAAGCTAACCCAAAGCCAACGCGGAGGTGGGAGCTAAGCTAACGGAGGTAGCAACCTAGCTACAACCGGAGTTAACTGTGCACTACACCAGAGCTTCTGAGTCAGATACGCCGGGCTTACCGCTGGTAAAACCGGGTGGAACACAGAGGTCTCCCGAAAGCTCCACAAGCCGGCAGCCGCACAGCAGACAAGCGCCGCTGCGATCAGAGATGCGCCGAGCTGGCGCTGAGGGGAGGGGACCATACCGATAGTCGGAACTCAGCTCCACCAACATGTTATATTTCATTTTCTAAAGTGCAGCATTATGTTAAATGCACTGGGTTTTACCCTATTACATTTAAATTTCATGGTTAAACAGTACATGTTAAAATCTAAGCTCAGCTCGGCAGTGACCTAAAATACATAAATATAATTTTATTCACCAAAAAAATGAAGTGGAGTCTCCTTGGACGCTCTATTAGTGCAATTAATGCCACAGCAAGTCATTTTGTCCAACAATTGCACAAAAAATATCCACAAAGAACGCACAAACGCTACAACTAATGGTGAGAGACTGAAAATGACCGTACAGTTTTCAGGCTGAGGCCTTTCCCCGGAGCTAGCTCTGCGGTCACGTGGGTCTGATGCTCATTAATTATACAGAATTTTAGGCTTTTAATACACTTAAACAGAAGAGTGACAAAAATTCACCCCCCTCAGAGTTGTCATGAGTGTAAACTAGATCTATTAAACCTAAAACATGTTTATTTCTGCTGTGAAATTGGTATTTTTAACATGGGAGTCAATGAGGATTTGCTCGCTTCTGACACCAGCCCCCTAGTGGATGAGAGTGGAACTGCAATTTTTGTCACTTCCTGTTTTGCTTCATTTCCAGACCTGAATTATGGGGCTTGCTTGAATGACACCAGCAGCCTTGATGCATCACTACAGTTCGTCTCCTCTAAAAACACGTGAACTTGTTTCAGTTTCTAAATTTCACTGAGAAAAGTCAACAAAAGGAAGCCGAGTGTGAATTGCTTTATTCTCGAGTCAATGTGAGAAACTAGGACATGAACATGACCATCTTTTCTGAAACTCGGGAGAAATTCTTTTAATTTTAGTTTTTAGCTCAGCTGACTCCTGCTGCAATCCTGCTTCTCCGCATACCTGCAGAGCGACGCTGCAGACGTCAGCACCCGGCGCATTTATGCAGCCGCTGCTGAAATCAAACCGCACCACGACCCTTAAAGAGGAGCGTCTTGGGATCCAGACTAATCAGATCCAAACGTTTAAACCATCGGTTTTAACCCAGTTTGGGGTTCGTGGGGTGGGGTGAGGGTGCGGCTAACAGAAACTTCACATCAAGTCCCTACAACGTTGCCCGAGGACAAAAACAGCAGCAAGACGGACAGGTTGCATCTGTCATTAGCAGAATGTTCCCTTTAACGGCTTGCTATGCTGCTGACGGTGGGAAAAACACAAGTTGGACAATTGTGCAAGCGTGCTTTAGCTGATTAAACCCTTCTTCGTGTCAGCGTGAAGACCAAAATAATCGAGGGGAATGTTTTTAGTAAAGACAAACAACTGGGTTGAGTGTGTGTGTGTGTGTGTGTGTGTGTGTGTGTGTGTCTGTGTGTGTGTGTGTGTGTGTGTGTGTGTGTGTGTGTCTGTGTGTGTGTGTGTGTGTGTGTGTGTGTGTGTGTGTGTGTGTGTGTGTCTGTGTGTGTGTGTCTGTGTGTCTGTGTGTCTGTGTGTGTGTGTGTGTGTGTGTGTGTGTGTGTGTGTGTGTGATCCTGTTCAAGTGTGAGAACTCCAGTCTTCAGGTGAATAACCTGACAGACATTCACTTTCTGTTCATCTGTCAAAAACAGGACACGCTTCTTTTTTCATTCCTGTTCACACAACCTCATCCTGTACCCCCCCCCCCCCCCCACACACACACACACACACACACACACACAGGTCTCAGAAGTTCACCTTGTCCAGGTCCACGGGCCTGCAGCGGCTGTACGGAGAGTTCTTGTCATCTTCATCCACCTTTTCCTTTGTGGGTTTTTTTGCAGCTTTTCCTTCCGTCTGTTCGCCGACTTTTCTCCGCTCTCTCAACGTCTGAAAGAAAATAAAACTTTCATTAAAGAAATAAGCTCTCGTTTTATCTGAGCTTTACTGTTCCTGTTTCAGTGACCTTTGCCCTTCAAGACTCGTGACATGTTCAGCTTTGCATTGTTTAACCTTTGCACACAGGTTAACATTTTCACGAGCTTATTAAACGCAGCTGAAACTGGAGGGTTAGTTGTGTTCAGTAAACCGGCTGCACAGACTTGTCTTAGGGATGGATTTTTGTTGTGGTAGGATGGGCGTGGAGGGCGAATCTTTCCCAGTACAGAAAACTGGTTCTGGCTGCAAAACGCCGTCCCATGCTCGCGTGTTTATTCCTAACCCACAGCTGACCGTCACCTTCTACTGGTCACAGTGTCACAAAATGCGGTAAATGGTGTGTATTCGTATAGCATTTAGAATCCTGAAACCCCCGAGACACTTTACAACACAATCAATCACCCATTCACACACAAAAAACCTAAAAAAACATGCACACTCCGATAAAAACAACTAAAGAACTGGATGAAGCATCAACTGTAAAGCAGACTCTTCGTGCTGAGCAGCATTCCGGTTCATCTGGTGTGCCCGTTTTTAATTCCCAGGAGAATAATTCTCAATATTTCAGTTCTGGAGAAGAGAGGAACATCAGAACAGAAGAAGTTTAGCACAACACAGAACTTCATACACAGAGAGGACTTTGTTCAATTAACATTTATATGTTTATTGAATACACAACTGTTTAGCTGGTTATTTTGCATTTACGAGTTCAGAGGATCTCCGGTAGCTAAAGAAACTAAAGCAAACATGAAGATTATATTAAAGAGTTTAATCTTCAGTTTAGGCACAACAATATATAAATAATAAGTCTCGTTTTATTACGCAATAAGAAAACTGCCCGTGCCATCTGTAAATCCTCCACTAGAGGGCAGCATACACAACTAGGACTGGATAAGACAAGTTTCAGGTGAAGGTACTAATCCTGATCATCTTCATTATTTCAGGATTAGAGGCCAACCGATATGGGTTTTTTTTAAAGGCCGATGCAGATTTTTCAAGAATTTTGTTGCCGATGGCCGATACCTAAAGCCAAGTATTAAGGCCGATATATTTACGTTTTAGCATCACATTGAATGTGAAAGACAACCGAACACTCGCTGTGTACAATATAAATTCAATAAGTCAATAAATCTCTTAATATTTATTGAACTTCAAATATAAAACAAACCAAGCACTAAAAAAATGGTGTGTTGGAGTCCTTCTGGTTCTTTCTTTAGTCTAGTAATGGTGGCAGTTGACCACACAGGTGCCTGATAATTATTATTATTATGAATATGCTTTAATTCTTTAATCAGCCTTTAAAAATAATTTGGGCCGATAGAGAAAATTGAATATATCGGCTCGATACATCGACCGACCGATATATTGGTTGGCCTCTATTCGGGACGTTTTTAAAGCTGAAGCAAGTTCAAAGGAAGATTAATGACCTCCAGGCTTTAATGTTCAGCTAAACCGAAACTGAAAACTCAACTAGCTTCTCTAAATGAAAGTTTTGTGTTCGTTTCCTGTTAAAACTCAGAATGCATGGATCAAAATGAGGAGGAACAACATCCGTCTGATGGACTCAAAGTCCTAAAGATTGTATTAAAATCAAACATTTTTACATTAGACTACCAGTCTTGTCCAGATTTCTACAGAAAACGCTGCAGCCTGATTTCATTTCTGGTACTTTGAGGTAACAAGTAAAAATCATCCTTTTCTACCACTCTGACATCCAACTGAGATGAAACGTGCACAGAGACCCCGAACAAGGCAGCCGTTTTTGGTTTTCAGGTTATTCCATTAGTTACAATGCAGCACCACCTTAAATCACATGACCCCTGTCTCATGATTGAGTCATGAGCTCAGACTCCAATTAGAGAAACAAACAAACAAACAAACGCTGCACTGATACCAGGATCCTATCTGCATCCTGCAAAAATGAGTCAAATCACTGCAGTCTGACTATTTTTAAAGACACAAATCAATTTCCACAACCTTTAATATCAACACATGGGCAGAAACTCGCGGCTTCTGCGTCAGAAAGTTAAATATTTATCAGCAGGCTGGTGTGAGGCATGTGTTCAAAGCCTCTTATGGTCTGTCACAGACATCACCTCAGTAATTTAACACCTTCTGTTGCAACATTATACCATCCCATCATCACACTGTAAAAGATTAAATGAACCCAAGAGCGGTCAAGACGCCTCGTTCTGCAGGGACAACACGAGAACATTCACCTGAAAGTAGCAGAACTGAGAAAGAACAATGATTAAAACGTGATCAGGACCAGTTAAGAGTCCTGCACCAGATTCCTCCCTTAGAGGGATTACATCTCATCTCATCTCACTTTGTGCTTAACGGGTATTAATGATATGACTTTTGGCCGTGTGTTCAAAAGTCTGGACACAATTTAAGACAATAAATCAAGAATTTAATTTCATCAGTAAGAACTCCAACAAAAAAAGCTGTGAAAAAAAAGCTTTGGTGCAAAGTTTTGTTTCATAGAATAGAATAGTTTCATTTAAACACACACACACACACACACACACACACACACACACACACACACACACACACACACACACACACACAATGGGATGAAAACGGGCTTCTCCAGGGCAGAAAAACACCTAACAAACAAACAAACGGTGCAAAGGTTGCGTTATATACACATGAGGAAAAAGACTACTCAGTGAGATATTCAGTACGGGATACTTCACATTACTTAAGTTAAGTATAGTATTGCTGTAGTAGTAACCCTATTGAGGCAAAAATAAATAAAAAATCCTCCTGCTGTCCTGATTGGTATCAGGTTTTCATGCAGCAGGTGCACAAAAGGCTGCTTTTAAAGTGATCAATCCCATAAATACTTTTTTCTGACTCTATGCTCCTGGGTAACAACAGGGCTTTCATGGTTTTACTTTCAGAATCACAATTTTTAAGATCAGTTCACAAAAAAAATATCAATCAAAATCGGTATCGGTTCTCAAAACCAGAATCAGTGCGTCTCTAGTCCTGTGGCCGACCGTTTCTTCATTTCCCTGGACAGGTACCACATTTTTCCACTTTCTTTAGTGAGGTATTTCCACATTTCATTTGTGTATTTCTATGTTTATGTACATGTGAAGCCATCTCTCCATTTATATTTTGTAGGATTTTTACACTGAGAAACATTTTTTCTTTCTGCATTTTTTCTTTATTTTACATCAAGACCAGATCAAATTAATCCTGTTGTACCACATCAGATTTGATATCAAGCAAACCTGCAGTAACGAAAGTGCAATACATAATACAATAAGCAGCTTTTAATTGACTCACATGCACGGTTTCTGTGTCCTGACTAAACAAGCACACACGCGGCGACGGTTTTACACGGCTGAGCCTGATGAAGCGACACACCCTCAGTATCTGCAGCCATAGCCTACGTGGGCAGTAAGTGATGTTTAATGAGCACTTCCTACTTCAGGGTGGGTGGGTAGTGTTTGTTCAGAGGGCGTGGCCCATTTTTAGCTTCACTTCTGATTGGATGACGAGTCTGTTGATTTTAAATCCTTTTAGGTGACAGCAGAACAAACTGGGGCTGGCTAGCCAACGATACAACTACCATCAAACTCTGCCGCAACTAAAAGAGCCGCAATCTGAAGCTTTTGAGGGAAAAAAACGGTGGTTTTACGAAATGAAGACTAATAAAAATGTTGTGTTGCCTTTATTATTGCTTTAAATAAAACAAGTGCCCTTAACTTCCCTTCAGCTATTTGACTTGTGGGTCATAAAACAAACGTTGGTTCATAACTATTCGTTTCAGGGAGTGGCAACGTTAAATCCCAGGTTTATTAACCATTAACTAGCACGTGCTTGCAGAGCACATTATAGTCTCCCGATCTTATTGAAACAAGAACAAAAAAAGTCCAATATACATTCCATTAAGCTAACCTGCTACTGGAGAGGCTGAGGGACTGGGTAGGCCTATCAGGATCTGCTCTGGAGTGGTTCTCCTCTTTTCTGTCTGAGCGCTCCTTTTCTGTGGCCGTCTCCAAGTTTAGGTCCTCCACCACCTCTCTTACCCATGGTGTCCTACAAGGATCTGTGCTGGGGCCTCTGCTCTTCCTCCTTTACCTGCTTCCTCTTCAGCACATCCTGAGCTCCTTCAAAGGAATCTCTTACCATCTTTATGCAGATGACATCCAACTGTACATCTCCTTTAAGCCCCATGAGATGTCTAAGCTGCATCTGTTGCACACCTGCTTAGACTCTATCAGAACCTGGATGGTGGGAGCTTTCTTCAGCTGAATGAAGATAAAACTGAGATCCTCATCTGTGCCCCAGACAAGCTGGTTCCCAAAGTCAGAGACTCTCTTGGTCGGCTTGCTTCTCACACCAAACCTTCTGTCAGGAATCTTGACGTGACCTTTGACCCAGCTCTCACCCTGGATTCTCATGTCAGTTCTCTTGTTGGCTCTTCCTTCTTCCATCTCAGGAACATTGCTAAGCTGAGTCCCATTCTGTCCCGCTCTGAACTTGAGACAGTTCTCCACACCTTCATCTCCTCACGCTTAGACTACTGTAACTCTCTTTTCACGTGTCTGAGCAGAACCTCCCTGAACCGTCTACAGGTGGTTCAGAACGCCTGTGCTCGGCTTCTGACCAAGTCCTCCAAACACACCCACATCACCCCGCTTCTCCTCCAGCTTCACTGGCTGCCAGTCAACTTCAGGGTTCATTTCAAGATCCTGGTTCTGGTCTATAGGGCCTTACATGGACAAGCACCATCTTACATTGGTGATCTTCTCTGTCCCTACACCCCCAGCAGGTCCCTGAGGTCCAGTGATCAAAGCCTACTGGTTGTGCAGCACCAGGCTAAAGGTCAAAGGTGACAGATCATCTGCTGCTGTGGCCCCCAGACTCTGGACCTCTCTCCCCCTGAGCCTGAGATCAGTGGACTCAGTGGTCTCCTTTAAAAAGCAGCTGAA